GGCAATGTATAGTAAAAAACAACAAAATATAAACCCCGCCCACCCACCCGGTCTCAATTGTGATGTTTTTTTCTTTATTCGTGGTGAACCGGGAGGTGAAGCTTAATTGCAAAATGCTTATTTTTTTATAAGGAAATGATATCTGAAAAATGTCCTCCAGTAATCGTGTTCTTTAAAGAAAACTGCTCGTTTTGAGTTAAATAAAGCCCGCCCCAATCTCAATTGTGATGAGTTTTCTTTCGTAATTAGACTGAGGGGCGGAGTTTAATTGCAAAATCCAAATTTTACCGTTTTAAAACATATTGCACATGGTACTTTCTTGTGGAGAAATGAGGATTTTGCAGCTAAGTTTCACCCCTCCGCTCAATATGAATAAACAAAATCATTACAATTGCCAGGGGGCGGGTGGGCGGGGCTTATATTTTGTCCATTTGTTCTTAATATACGAAGTCTTCTTTCCCAACAAGAAACTGAAAACAAGTTTAACTATCATGTTGTTCAAGGAAAAGTACATTTATTCAGAAAAAAAAAGATTAAGCACGACCCATCCGTCGCGATCTCAATTGTAATGAATTTTTCATTCGTTATCAAACCGAGGGGCGGAGTGTAATTGCAAATTACATATTTTCCTACAAAATTTGCCATTTTGAGCATCTGAGTTTCTGGTTGTTAAAAGAAGGCAATGTATAGTAAAAAACAACAAAATATAAACCCCGCCCACCCACCCTGTCTCAATTGTGATTATTTTTTCTTTATTCGTTGTGAACCGGGAGGTGAAGCTTAATTGCAAAATGCTTATTTTTTTATAAGTAAATGATATCTGAAAAATGTCCTCCAGTAATCGTGTTCTTTAAAGAAAACTACACGTTTTGAGTTAAATAAAGCCCGCCCCCATCTCAATTGTGAAGAGTTTCTCATTCGTAATTAGACTGAGGGGCGGAGTTTAGTTGCAAAATCCATATTCCTCTACCAAATTTTACCGTTTTAAAACATATTGCACATGGTAATTTCTTGTGGAGAAATGAGGATTTTGCAGCTAAGTTTCAACCCTTCGCTCAATATGAATAAACAAAATCATTACAATTGCGAGGGGGCGGGTGGGCGGGGCTTATATTTTGTCCATTTGTTCTTAACATACGAAGTCTTCTTTCCCAACAAGAAACTGAAAACAAGTTTAACTATCGTGTTGTTCAAGGAAAAGTATATTTATTCAGAAAAAAAAAGATTAAGCACGACCCATCCGTCGCGATCTCAATTGTAATGAATTTTTCATTCGTTGTCAAAGCGAGGGGCGGAGCGTAATTGCAAATTACATATTCTCTTATAAAAATTTACCATTTTGAGCATCTGAGTTTCTGGTTGTTAAAACAAGGCAATGTATAGTAAAAAACAGCAAAATATAAACCCCGCCCACCCACCCTGTCTCAATTGTGATGATTTTTTTTTATTCGTCGTGAACCGGGAGGTGAAGCTTAATTGGAAAATCCATATTCCTCTACCAAATTTTACCGTTTTAAAACATACTGCACATGGTAATTTCTTGTGAAGAAATGAGGATTTTGCAGCTAAGTTTCACCCCTCCGCTCAATATGAATAAACAAAATCATTACAATTGAGAGGGGGCGGGTGGGCGGGGCTTATATTTTGTCCATTTGTTCTTAATATACGAAGTCTTCTTTCCCAACAAGACACTGAATACAAGTTTAACTATCGTGTTGTTCAAAGAAAAGTATATTTATTCAGAAAAAAAAAGATTAAGCACGACCGATCCGTCGCGATCTCAATTGTAATGAATTTTTCATTCGTTGTCAAACCGAGGGGCGGAGCGTAATTGCAAATTACATATTTTCCTACAAAAATTTACCATTTTGAGCATCTGACTTTCTGGTTGTTAAAAGAAGGCAATGTATAATAAAAAAACAACAAAATATAAACCCCGCCCACTCACCCTGTCTCAATTGTGATGATTTTTTCTTTATTCGTCGTGAACCGGGAGGTGAAGCTTAACTGCAAAATGCTTATTTTTTTATAAGGAAATGATATCTGAAAAATGTCCTTCAGTAATTGTGTTCTTTAAAGAAAGCTATACGTTTTGAGTAAAATAAAGCCCGCCCCAATCTCAATTGTGACGAATTTTTCATTCGTAATTATACTTAAGGGCGGAGTTTAATTGCAAAATCCATATTCCTCTACCAAATTTTACCGTTTTAAAACATATTGCACATGATAATTTCTTGTGGAGAAATGTGGATTTTGCAGCTAAGTTTCATCCCTCCGCTCACTATGAATAAAAAAAAAATCATCACAATTGAGAGGGGGTGGGTGGGCGGGGCTTATATTTTATCCATTTGTTCTTAATATACCAAGTCTTCTTTCCCCAACAAGAAACTGAAGACAAATTTAACTATTGTATTGTTCAAAAAATACTGTATATATTTAGAAAAAAAAAATTAAATACGACCCACCCGCCCGATCTCTACTGTGATGAATTTTCCATTCGTTGTTAGATCGAGGGTCGGAGCGTAATTACAAATTATGTAATTCACTACCAAAACTTACCATTTTGAATATGTTTTAAGTTTCTTGTTGTGAAAAGAAGGGGATGTGTAATAAAAAAGCCAAAGATTAATCCCCACCCACCCCGATCTCAATTGTATTGTGATGATTTTCATTCCCAATTAGACTGAGGGGCGGAGTTTAAATACAAAATCCATATTCCTCTACAAAATTTTATCCTTTCAAAACATATTTCACAAGGTAATTTCTTGTGGAGAAATGAGGATTCTGCAGCTAAATTTCGCCCCTCGGGTCATGATGAATAAAAAAATTATCACAATTGAGAGGGGGCGGGTGGGCGGGGCTTATATTTTGTCCATTTGATCTTAATATACGAAGTCTCCTTTTCCCAAAAAGAAACTGAAAACAAGTTTAACTATCGTGTTGTTCAAGGAAAAGTATATTTATTCAGAAAAAAATATATTAAGCACGATCCATCCGTCGCGATCTCAATTGTAATGAATTTTTCATTCGTTGTCAAACCGAGGGGCGGAGCGTAATTGCAAATTACATATTTTCCTACAAAAATTTACCATTTTGAGCATCTGAGTTTCTGATTGTTAAAGGAGGCAATGTATTGTAAAAGACAACAAAATATAAACCCCGCCCACCCACCCTGTCTCAATTGTGATGATTTTTTCTTTATTCGTCGTGAGTCGGGAGGTGAAGCTTAATTGCAAAATGCTTATTTTTTTATAAGGAAATGATATCTGAAAAATGTCCTTCAGTAATCGTGTTCTTTAAAGAAAACTATACGTTTTGAGTATAATAAAGCCCACCCCGATCTCAACTGTGATGAGTTTTCCATTCGTTGTTAGACCGAGGGGCGGGGCGTAATTGCAAGATACATATTTTCCTACCAAAATTTTACATTTTGAATATGTTTTAAGTTTAAAATATCAACCCCGCCCACCCACCCCATCTCAATCGTGATGATTTTTTTTATTCGTCGTAAGCCGAGAAGTGAAGCTTAATGGCAGAGTGCTTATTTTTTATAAGAAAATGCTATGTGAAACATGTTCTTCAGTTATCGTGTTCTTTAAAGAAAATTATACGTTTGGAATAAATAAAAAGCCAAAAATTAAGCCCCACCCGCCGCGAACTCAATTCAGATGAGTTTTTCATTCGTACGTAGACTGAGGGGCGGAGTTTAATTGCAAAATCCATATTCCTCTACAAAATTTTATCCTTTTAACACATATTTCACATGGTAATTTCTTGTGGAGAAATGAGAATTTTGCAGCTAAGTTTCGCTCGTCGACTCACGATGTATAAAAAAATTATCACAATTGGGAGCGGGCGGGTGGGCGGGGCTTATATTTTGTCCATTTGGTCTTAATATACAAAGTCTTTTATAAGGAAATGATATCTGAAAAATGTCCTCCAGTAATCGTGTTCTTTAAAGAAAACTATACGTTTTGAGTAAAATAAAGCCCGCACCGACCTCAATTGTGATGAGTTTTTCATTCGTAATTAGACTGAGGGGCGGAGTTTAATTGCAAAATCCATATTCCTCTACCAAATTTTACCGTTCTAAAACATATTGCACATGGTAATTTCTTGTGGAGAAATGAGGATTTTGCAGCTAAGTTTCACCCCTCCGCTCAATATGAATAAACAAAATCATTACAACTGCGAGGGGACGGGTGGGCGGGGCTTATATTTTGTCCGTTTGTTCTTAATATACGAAGTCTTTTTTTCCCAACAAGAAACTGAAGAGAATTTAACTATCGCATTGTAAAAAGAAAACTATATATATTAAGAAAAAAAAGATTAAGCACTATTTTGTTCAATGGAGGCTTATGAATAACTTTAGTCATCTGTTTTGGGGCGATAAACTCATTCAAATCAAACAAATGTCTACGTGACATTCTTCCGATGTAATGTATTCCCGTTGATAATGTGCTGTAAATAAATTTTTTGCACTCATAACCTTTTCTGATGACCTTGGCGCATTCAACAGCATGTGGGACGTCGAACATCACGCACAGATGCGTTTTGCTATGCTATCGCAATTTGTTTTTAAAATGCTCCGCTACAAAAATGTAACGAGAAAAAAAAACATAATAGGCAGAGAAAAGTACTGCCTAAACTCTTTAGACCAATTTTTTTAGTCCCGTCACAGAATCCAACTACTTGCATAGTTAAACCCTTAGCCTGCATCCGCATCGACTGCGTCTATCGTCGGCTAGGTCGGAACTGCAGCGTTCGATCCTCTGGAGATCAACAAATTATATGGGTCGGCCCCGACGTGCTTCTCTAAACTGCGGTTCTCTTAAATATTTATGTTCCTTTGTTAGTCTACAACTTTCCAAGTCAGTCCTATGTCCACATAGTCAACGCTAACAGCTACAAGGCCTTCGCCTCTTAACGAACGCGCCGCTTTACCTACGCAATAAAATCAAAAAAGGGACTATAAATTACGTCTTGATGCAGCATTACGTTTAATAACAGTTAACTACTAGCCGAACACACGCCACTTTAAGGCTCATCAGCTTGAACTTCAGCCGTGATGCAAGCCAGCTCCTCGTCGTTCTTCGTGAAAGAAAAAGTTACTCTCAACCTGCCATAAATAATGTGGTCTTGTTCAATATTATGATAATCTTCCTTGTATCCCGTCAGTTTATATTCACCCTACAACAGAGTGTTTGAAATATGGACAAGTTTTCCGTGCGAACGTACGGCGGGAAAAACCGTGGGGTCGTCGATTTTGGGGCTAACTGCGTTGGAGAAATTTTCCAAAAGTTTGGGGAGCTTGTCGTTCATAAATTTCAAGAAGGAGAATTCTTGGTCGTAGATGTCTTTCTGCCAGTCGTTGTTGGAGTATTGATCCACAACGATCGTCAGCTAGAATTTTAAGTACTAAGTAAGTATTAAAATTTCAACGAGATTTTTCCACTTACGTTTAGTTCTTCGCCGTAATCTTCCGCAAGCTTGAAGCTGAAATCGACGCTCTTTGTGCCATCGTCGTCTTCGTTCAGCTTCATTTCGTACTCGATCTTATTGACATCGGGGTCGCAGTTTTTTATTTCATAAATTGTAATGGGTCCGATAGGACCGGACTACGAACATCAAAGAAAAAATGTATGTGAATCGACAGCTCTAATACTCACTTGTGCACCGGAACAAACGACATCACTATTTATTATTAGAGCGCAACACACCAACAGAAAGCAATTCATTGTGTCTGCGTGTATCTACCTAGGAAAATTGTTTAGTACTAGCGTAATGTCGGAAAAGCATCTATTTAAATGACCTGAAACATATAAAAAAGTGTCGCCGTCCATTCGCGTGCAATTAACATGTTGTCAAACACCGACAGAAAACCTTGCGACATGAAAATTAATTTCAACTTATTTGAAGGTCGTTAATGTCATTTAGGGACTTCGCAAATAAATAAAAATCTTTTCATAATATGCAATATAGTTAGTTTTATTAATTAATGCATTCATTTCCTCAATCGACAATAATCTATCTTAGTGAAGGTTTGAAGAATTCGAGTTCCACCTTCTGGCAGAGCACGTCTTCGTCGTCTACCGTTACGGTGGCCGTAAGACGGGCTTTTCCGTATGGTACCTGCGGGACAGTGATCTCCGTATACGTCGCCGTAAATCCCTCCAGTGTATAAGACCCCTAAAAACGAAACTTAAATGGTATTCAATTAAATATACCTATCACTACAGCAAGAATTTCACCAGGCTCCGCAATTTTGGGTTCCATTTTACTCCTCATATGTTCCCAAATTTTCGGACAAAAATTATTAACACTCGCAAAGAATTTCTCATCGTCGAAATGGTACGCGTTTTCTTTCCACTCGTCCCCGTCCAATGTGTCCGCAAGTATAGTGACCTAAAACACATTTTCAATAACTTACCCCTAACTATTAAATATTTACCAAAACGTTATCTCCATAATCGCTTGGTATCTTGAAAGACATCGAAAAGGTGTCGGTGTCGTCGCTTTCCGTCTGCATTTTCGCCTCGAATTCCACCTTGTTAAGAACGGAATCGCAGTCTTTGATGTCGTAAATTTTTACTTCACCCGGAGGACCCTTCTTTGAAAATAAAACACATATATTCGTAAATGTAACATTCTAGAGTTGAAGTAGTCGACCTACCTCGGACTGTCCCACTACGAGGATGGGTGTTGCCGCTAACAACAAAGAAAGTATTAGTGGTGCGTTCATCTTGCTAAAAATACGTTCGATGGGTCAAAAACTGGCGTATTTATATCTGAAGTTGTAACAAACAAAAGTACATTTCCGCTTGTCGGTTACGCGATTACACCTTGAAAAAATACAGCGACAATGTAAAAAATATGCCTACTGTATCAATAAATTAGTTTCGACATGGAGAACAAGGATAGGGCCTGTATGTACTACGTGGCTACAAGCACTATGTTTCAATTTTATTGTTATTGTTCACGCAACAAAAAAAAAGTTAGTGCAGAAATAGCATCTAGTAAGTCTAGCAAGGATCTCTAACGATACTTTGCGAAGGAAGTTCTGTGACTCGACTTAATCACACTGGTCAGATCGTTTATAACTATCGCAAATAGTAAGGACTTAAAGTGGAGCCCTCAGGTACACCAAATTAGGTGTCATAGTTCCTGATGTAAAGTTGTTGTATTCCATATATAACGTACGGTCTGATAAACACGATTTCATTAATTTAAACATGTCATTGGAAATACCATAACGATCCAATTGTTAACTAAAACATTATGAATTACTTTATGAGACGCTTTTGATATATCTGCATATATCACACATACTTCTTTTCCTTTGTCTAACGGTTCGGACATAGGCTGAGTAACCATAAATAAATTAAACTCCCATTTCCGTCTGTCTGTCTGTCTGTCGGTCTGTCTGTCTGTCTGGTGTCTGAATCCATTTATATTAGAGAAGTAATCTCCGAAACTGTTGGACCGATTGTTGTAAGTTTAATTTTTTCTTGCAGAGTCCTTTATGTGCAAGGAATAGCCCCGCCCACCCGCCCTCTATTTTCTTAAAGGGTCATCTGCCAAAATCAGTCTTATCTTAGCAAGTACTAACCCCGCCCATCCACCCACCCACGCTATTCTCATTCTAAGGACTAATTTTATTTCTGTTCAGTATCGAATCAACTTATGTGCAGATAAAATGAGTCACTAAAATGGAGACGGGGTGGGTGGGCGGGGTTAATCATTTGTTCTTTTGTAGAATGGGAATGGGGCTGCTAAAAAAGAAAAAAAGAATAGACAGTATTTTTTTTGTTATACTGTTTACTTTAAAATTTATTTCTTATTTTGTAAGAAAAAATGAGAAAACGGGTGGGTGGGCGGGGCTAAGTTTAACTTTTTCTTGCAGAGTCTTTTATAAGCAAGTACTAGCTTGAATGTAAAACCTTCTCGGGGGTCCCAAATGTATTTTTTCTTAATGTGAGACTCTCTCGGGGATCCCAACTGTCTTTTTAAAAATATAAAACCTTCTCGGGGGCGCCAAATGTTTTTTTATGTGTTCTTTTTATGTAAAACTTTCTCAGAAGTCCCAACCGTCTACGTACTTGCTAAGATAAGATTGACTTTGGCAAATGACACACCTTCTAAGAAAACAAAGGGCGGGTGGGCGGGTTTAGTACCTGCTAAGATAAGACTGATTTTGGCAAATGACGCCCTTTAATAAAATAGAGGGTGGGTGGGCAGGGCTACCACTTGCTAAGATAAGACTAAACAATATTAAGAGTAGTTAACAGAATATAGGGTGCAATCACAGTTTACTGGCTTTCGTTTTTTTTTTCTTTTTTCCCCTTTTTCTCTCGCATTGTTTATGACGTCATAACATTTTTTTATTGATTAACTTACCCCACTTTCTCGAAAAGGTGCGAATTCACCCCTCTTTATTTAAAAATGTAAAACCATCTCGGAGGCGCTAAATGCCATTTTTTACAAATGTGAAACCTTCTCGGGGGTCCCCCCTATCTTTTTAAAAATGTAAAACCCTCTTGGGTCACAACTATCTATTTTAAAAATGTAAAACCTTCTCGAGGGCCCCAAGTGTCTTTTTTTTTAATGTGAAACCTTCTCGAGGATCCCATTTTTTTTTTAATGTGATATTTTCTCCGAGAGTCCCAAATATCTTCTTTTAAGAATGTGAAACCTTCTCAGGGGCCCCAACTGTCTTTTTTTAAATGTGATACCTTCTCGGGAGGTCCCAACTGTCTTTTTTAAAAATGTGAAACCTTCTCGAGGATCCCAATTTTTTTTTAATGTAACATTTTCTCCGAGGGTCCCAAATATCTTTTTTTGAGAATGTGAAACCTTCTCGGGACCCCAACTGTCTTTTTTTTTTTAATGTGAAACCTTCTCGGGAGGTCCCAACTGTCTTTTTTAAAAATGTGAAACCTTCTCGGGCGGCCCAACTATCTTTTTTTTAAATGTGAAATCTTCTCGGGGGTCCCAACGGTCTTTTTTAATAATGTAAAACCTTCTCGGGGGCCCCTGTATGTTAATGGGTCCCAAATGTCTGTTATCTTAATGTGAAACCATCTCAAGTGTTTCAACTGTCTTTTTTTTAATGTGAAACATTCTCGGTGTCGGGAGTTCCAACTGTAGTTTTTAAAATCGTAAAACTTTCTCGAAGATCCCAAATGTATATTTTTAAGAAAGTGAAACCTTCTCAGGGGTCCCAACTATCTTTTTTAAAAATATACAACCTTCTCGGGGGCTCCAAATGTATATTTCTTAGAATGTAAAACTCTCTGGAAGGTCTCAACTGTATTTTTTTAATGTGAAACCTTCTCAATCGTCCTAACTGTCTTTTCAAAAAGGTGAAACCTCCTCAAGGGTCCCAACTGTCTTTGTTAAAAATGTACAACCTTCTCAGGAGCTCCAAATGTATATTTTTACGAATGTAAAACTTTCTGGGAGGTCTCAACTGTATTTTTTTTATGTGAAACCTTCTCGGGGGTCCCCACTATCTTATTAAAAATGCGAAACTTTCTCAAGAGTCTCAATTGTCTTTTGTTTTAATGTGAAATCTTCTCGGGGGTTCCCCGTATCTTTTTAAAAATGTAAAACCTTCTTGGGCCTCCCAACTAACTATTTTAAAAATGTAAAACCTTCTCGGGGGCCCCAAGTGTCTTTTTTCTTAATGTGAAACCATCTCGGGGGCCCCAACGGTCTTTTTTAAAAATGTAAAACCTTCTCAGGGGCGCCAAATGTCTTTTTTTTTAATGTGAAACCTTCTCGGGGGCCCCAATTGTCTTTTTTAAAAATGTGAAACCTTCTCGAGGGCCCAAACGGTCTGTTTTAAAAATGTAAAACCTTCTCGGGAGCCCCAAATGTCTTTTTCTTTATTTGAAACCTTCTCAGGGGTCCCAACGTTCTATTTTAGAAATGTAAAACCTTCTCGGGAGCCTCAAATGTCTTTTTCTTAATTTGAAACCTTCTCGGGGGTCCCAACGGTCTTTTTAAAAATTTAAAACCTTCTCGGGGGCGCAAATGTTTTTTTTAATGTGAAACTTTTTTTTATGTAAAACCTTCTCAGGGGTCCCAACCGTCTAGCTGAGATAAGACTGACTTTGGCAAATCACATACCTTCTAAGAAAAGAGAGGGTGGGTGGGCGGGGTTAGTACCTGCTATGATAAGACTAACTTTGGCAGATGAAACTCTTTAAGAAAATAAAGGGTGAGTGGGTGGGGTTGGTACTTGCTAAGATAAGACTAAACAATATTATGAGTAGTCAACCGAATGTAGGATGTAATAACAGTTTAAGATTAGCGTACGCCATCTCGGTCTTGGAGTGGGATTTTGTTTCTAGCGATACGATACGAAACGATAACGAAGCGATAAATGACAAGGACGAAAATATAAATTTCAGATGCGAAAGAAAAAGTCGACCACATTTTATCGGTACCGATATTTTATCGTTATAGAAATAAAATCCCATTCTTGCTCTAGTGGTTACGAGTCAGGAATGTGGACTGGACGTCGCGCGTTCGATTCTAAACTTGGCTTTCGTTTTTTTTTCCCCTTTTCTCTCGCATTGTTTATGACGTCATAACACTTTTTTAATTGGTTAACTTACCCCATTTTCTCGAAAAGGTACGAATACGTTCTTCTTTATTTAAAAATGTACAACCATCTCGGAGGCGCTAAATTTCGTTTTTTACGAATGTGAAACCTTTCCGGGGGTCCCAACTGTCTATTTTTTAATGTGAAACCTTCTCGGGGGGCCCAGTGTCTTTCTTAAAAATGTGAAACCTTCTCGGGGGTCCCAAGTGTCTTTTTTTAATGTGAAACCTTCTCGGGGGTCCCAACTGACTTTTTTTAATATGAAACCTTCTCGAGGGGCCCACCTATCTTTTTAAAAATGTAAACCCTTCTTGGGCCTCCAAACTATCTATTTTAAAAATGTAAAACCTTCTCGAGGGCCCCAAGTGTCTTTTTTCTTAATGTGAATCCTTCTCGGGGGCCCAAACGGTCTTTTTGAAAAATGTAAAACCTTCTCGGGGGGCCCAAATGTCTTTTTCTTAATTTGAAACCTTCTCGGGGGTCCCTACGTTTTTTTTTTTTAAATGTAAAACCTTCTCGGGGGCGCCAAATGTCTTATTATTTTAATGTGAAACCTTCTCGAGTGTCTCAACGGTCTTTTTTAAAAATGTAAAACCTTCTCGGGGGCGCCAAATGTCTTTTTATTTTAATGTGAAACCTTCTCGGGGGTCCCAACTGTCTTTTCTAAAAATGTAAAACCTTCTCGAGGGCCCCAAATGTCTTTTTCTTAATTTGAAACCTTTTCGGGGGTTCCAATTGTCTTTTTTAAAAATGTAACATCTTCTCGGGGGCTCCAAAGTCTTTTCTTTAAGAAGGGTGCTGACTGTTCTTTTTTAAAGAAGGCGAAACCTTCTCCAGGGTCCCCAATGTGTTTTTTCTTAATATGAAACCCTCTCGGGGATCCCAACTGTCTTTTTTAAAATTGTAAAACATTCTCGATAGCCCTAAATGTCTTTTTTCTTAATGTTAAACCTTCTTGGAGATCCCAACTAACTTTTTAAAAATTTAAAACCTTCTCGGGGGCGCAAATGTTTTTTTTTAATGTGATTTTTTTTTTATGTAAAACCTTCTCAGGGGTCTCAACCGTCTAGCTGAGATAAGACTGACTTTGGCAAATCACATACCTTCTAAGAAAAGAGAGGGTGGGTGGGTGGGTTTAGTACCTGCTATGATATGACTAACTTTGGCAGATGAAATTCGTTAAGAAAGTAGAGGGTGGGTGGGCGGGCTAGTACTTGCTAAGATAAGACTAAACAATATTAAGAGTAGTTAACAGAATGTAGGGTGCAATAACAGTTTACCATTAAAGTACGACTTCTCGGTCTTGGGGTGGAATTTTGTTTCTACCGATACGATACGAAGCGATAACGAAGTGATAAATGAGAAGGACGAAAATATAAATTTCAGATGCTAAAGAAAAAGATGACCATATTTTATCGGTACAAAATCCCACCCCGGACGTCTCGCGTTCGATTCCAAACTTGGCCTTTCGGTTTTTTTTCCCCCTTTTTCTCTCGCATTGTTTATAACGTATTACGCTCCTCTGTATTTAAAAATGTAGAACCATCTCAGAGGCGCTAAATGTCATTTTTTACGAATGTGAAACCTTCCCAGGAGTCCCAAGTGTTTTTTTTTTTTTTTTAATGTAAAACCTTCTCGGGGGGTCCCAGCTGTCTTTTTAAAAATGTAAAACCTTCTCGGGGTTTCCAAATGTATATTTTTAAGCAAATGAAAGCTTCTCGGGGGTCCCAACTGACTTTTTTTTATGTGAAACCTTCTCGAGGGGTCCACCCATCTTTTTAAAAATGTAAAACCTTCTTGGCCCTCCCAACTATCAATTTTAAAAATGTAAAACCTTCTCGAGGGCCCCAAGTGTCTTTTTTCTTAATGTGAAACCTTCTCGGGGGTCCCAACGGTCTTTTTTAAAAATGTAAAACCTTCTCGGGGGCCCCAAATGTCTTTTTTCTTGATGTGAAACCTTCTCGGGGGTCCCAACGGTCTACTTTAAAAGTGTAAAACCTTCTCGGGGGCGCTAATGTCTTTTTATTTTAATGTGAAACCTTCTCGAGGGTCTCAACGGTCTTTTTTAAAAATGTGAAACCTTCTCGGGAGCCCCAAATGTCTTTTTCTTAATTTGAAACCTTCTCGGGGGTCCCAACGGTCTTTTTTAAAAATGTAAAACCTTCTCGGGGGCGCCAAATGTCTGTTTATTTTAATGTGAAACCTTCTCAGGGGTCCCAACTGTCTTTTTTAAAAATGTAAAACCTTCTCGGGGGCCCCAAGTTCGTTTTTCTTGATGTGAAACCTTCTCGGGGGTCCCAACAGTCTACTTTAAAAATTTAAAACCTTCTCAGGGGCTCTAAATATCTTTTTTTTGAGAATGTGAACCCTTCTCGGGGTCCCCAACTCTCCTTTTTTAAAATGTAAAACCTTCTCGAGGGGCTCAAATGTTCTTTTTTTTAATGTTAAACCTTCTCGAGGGTCCCAACTTTTTTAAAGAAGGCGAAACCTTCTCGGGGGCCCCAAGTGTCTTTTTTAAGTATATCAAATCTTCTCGGGGCTCCCAACTGTCTTTGTTTCTATTTCGCTGTAACAAGTACCTCTATACTGTTTTTATTTCATACAGGTTATTACGAGAAAGTAAAATTTCACAAAATCTAATTTTATAATTTTTCAAAGAAGCAGTATTTGTTGGACTGTACCTACTTCAAAAGTGAGGGAACTTTCGACCAATTTTTTACTAAGTTCTAATGCGCGATGGAAGCCATTTTCGTCATATTCTGCGAATTAAGTAACCTCAAGACCACATATCAGACGCTTTTCAAAATTTCTGCCTGATAAATTAAACTTTCCTTAGCTATTGCTCAAAACATGTACTTTTTGGGCCTATTTATTATTAAAAAAAGGACTGTAGGATTATTTTGTGACCAAAATAAATTACCAAAATAAAACAAGAAAGTTTGCGTAAGTTGTGTATTTCACCTCCATATTACAACCGAATCAAGTCATTACCCGCCCCACTTACATCGAATCGGGTGGCGTAAATTCGACTTCCAGCTTTTTGCAAACAACGTCCACATCATCCACCGTTAAATACACACTTGCCATAAACCTCCCGTATGGAACCTGCGGTGTATTAATATCCATATAATGAGCGTAAAACAACTCCACGTTATAGTCCCCCTACAACAAACCAGTCATTGTTGCAAAGAATAAATCTGATGCTGTATTACAGCCAGCATTTCACTGGGTTTCTCAATCTTCGGCACCGCTTGTTCCCTAAAATTGTTCCAGATGGGCGAAACAAAATCATTCAAAAATTTAAACGCTGGTTTGTTCTCAACCACAAACGCGCTCTTTTGCCAGTCCGAACCATCAAATTTGTCGGCGTCAACACTAACCTGAAAAATGCTTTCAGACCACGAGACACCGAAAGATAACATCTACCGTTGCGTCTACGCCAATATCAAACGGCAGACTGAAAGACAACGTTATTTTATCCTTTTGATCCACGTCCTGGAGTAGCGTAAGTTCGAAATTCAACTCGTCTAAGGCTGGATCACAGTCTTGGACTTCGTAAACGGTTACCGGGCCGATAGGACCTGTCTAAACACAAGAACAAGAAATTAGGAACACAAATGTAATCAACTTACATCTGACGCCTCCACTACAATGAAGTTCACTCCAATAAACAAAACGAGATTAGTTGTAGTAATCATTTTACTGAACACTATAATTAACACTGTCCCCTCTGCAGTTATATATCACACGTTGTGGAAGAAAAAAAAATAGCTTTCGTGTTCAAAAATCGTGTACCACAACATCGTCCTTGCCCAATGAGAAAACCCGACTCACCCGACTGGAACTCCTCTAATTTATGACCTAAATCCTTTTTTCGCAAATAAATCCTCCCAATTTAATCCACATTTGTAGAATTTGCAAGTGCCTAATTTTTCCGCGAAATGTCTTTCTCGTCATAATCCCGCTTTCCATTTAAATCCCTCCAAACAAAATCCACTAATCGTCCCTTTATAAAACTTTATTAACCCCTACGACCCGTAAAAAGTAAAAACTCAATAAAAGCCAACCCTTTTCGCTTCCGAGGCCGCGATAAGAGCGAGCCCTGTTGACTAAACATTAACATTTCCAGAAACCGAAGTAATTTCAGACGTCTCGTAATTAATTTGTTGGCGTTAATGGTTTGTCCCTTGGGCAGGATTACGGCAAGTCGCACCCTCGTAAGTACCCTTCCAGACGTCTGATTGCTGTCATTTCCTGAGGACATTCCTACTCCAAACACTTTAATTGAAAAAATCGAACGCCAATTACTGGTCAAAAAACTTCCCCTAGATGCAAATTCGACAAATAAACGAACGCGGATTGAATAAAATTGAATAAATCTTTTACCCGTGTAATTCAATCGCACCGCCCTTCGCAAAAATCGATAAGTTATCAGTAAAAGTAAAAACGGCATACGCATATGCGGATCTAATTTAAATTTCAATCAGATTTCTCATAAAACTTCCTTGTTAAGGGACCGGAATAACCCGCCATCTTGCCAAGACTTGTTTAGGTTTATTAATTTACAAGACAAAAGTTGCGTGCTATGAATTATCAATTTTTTAGTGTGTTCGATACAACTATTGATAAGCACGATTGTTTACGAGGTCGCATTATTACATTCCGCTGTCACAGGAAGTGTATCTGTAATATCAAACTACCACTTCAGACGATGTCCATTAAATTTGCTCTAATAACATGTCAATTTCGAGTAAATTTCCATAACTATGACCATATTGTAGTTCTGGAACACTTAATTAACCGGAACTTCAAGTAATTAGGGAGAAAATGGTCTTTATTGGATGCTTGGTTACACGTTAATTGAACTAAATGAAAATACGATTTGTTTTTATTTCCCTGTAGAAAACTACATAAATCATTTCGGTTTTTACAATTTTGAATGAATATTTACATAATTTATAAAATTAACGAGTGATCACGATAATCATTGGTCCTGGGTTTTAAAAACGTCGCAGGCCACTCTGTACGTGGTATCGCCACAACGCACCCCTAAATTTCTCAAATAATTGTAAAATCTATTGCCTCGCTTTGTATTATTTGCCGCACGTTCAAATTCTAACCTAGCTATAGTTCGTAGGCACGGCATATAATCCAAAGCTATTGCGCGTCTTGCCAAAGACTCGGATAGCGGCAAAGCGGCCTGCAGTTTTTTTTCTGACGCAAATTGCTTGGAACGCCACCTATAACAAAAAAAATAGTTTTATAGTATATCAGGTATTCGTAGCAAGCGGCACATTATACACACCTGCGTTCCGTTTGATGTGGCACAGCCATATTTAACGCGACTTCCTGTCTGCTGTACTTTTCCTTATACAATTTAACCCTTCCACTAATTAGTGTTTGCACTACGTCATTAGAAACGTCATGTGGTGTGAATTCCGCCATGTTCTCTTCTAACCCAACGCCATCTTTTTCTTTAGTCCGCCATTTTCGCTCTAAACTCTCATGGAATTGACCTTTTCCGCACAAAACATCCGCAAACGCGAGTGAGTCATAGCAATCTGAAAGCATTTTCAGCTTTTCTTTATCTTTACTGTCATGACTCTCTGCCAGGGTCGTTTTTGAAAAATTCGGTAAAGTCAACATTGTGGGTAAATTCCACCAAATTACGTCTAGATTATTACAGTAAGACAAACTAAACGACTGACAGTCGTGGTAAATTTGGCCACCCTCTTTACAATCTGACGATTCGTCCATCTTTAAAAGCGACAAATTCGAATTATCGTCGTCTATTTTATCATCGCCGTCTACAAACACGTCAATATCGGTTTTAATTTCAGTGTGAGCACGACGTCCACCCGAACTAACGAACAATTGCAGTTGCAGCAAAGTCCGCCTGATGTCGCCTCTGTTGTAGCTCAGTAAGTCATCAAGTGACTTAGGCACAATGTACAAACCCTCAACGAGACACACGATTTGCAACCAAATCGTCAGAATCGACGAAAACGGCGCAAAATAAATCGCTGCATGGTTGTTTACAATTTTTTGTAAACTGGATGGCGGTTCGTCAGTTGCTGTCAAAATAATCGGTCTTTTACTAGTGGTCACAATCTGCGCAATCGCAGCAATAAAACCCTCATCTTGCTCGAAAACTACGTCTACGTCTTCTATCAACAAGACGCACATTTTCGCAGACGGTTTTTTGTTTTTTTCTTTAACAAAAGACGATAAAAGTGTGTCGTTTTTGCACACTTGATGCGACTGAGTGGCTTCTTGTACTTCTTGTAGTAGTCGTTTCCCGGTTCTTCTGCTTGACGCGTTCACTTCCAAGACATTAAAACCTAACTCATTACACACTGCGTATACGGACGCGGTCTTACCGCTACCGCTTGGACCTTGAAGAAGTATAGTGTTGCTGTGCATTTTCGTGCTGTCACAACTGTCATCAGTGACGTCAAACTCCGACTCGCTGTCACATTTTTTTCGAATTTTGCTTGAATCTTTGGACCACTTTGATAAAAATTCTTTGAGGGAGGTGACGCTGGAACGATTCCCGATGATGTCAGCTGACGATTTTGGTTTGTATTTTTCAGTCCACATGGTGGTATTTTCTTGTTGTTGGGTCTGTGTTTCAGGTTTTTTTTCAGGGGGATTTTTTTTTGGGCGACCGCGGCGTTTGGTAGTGGTTTGAGCGACACTCTCTGGCGCCGTCTCCACCTTGTAACCGCTTTTGGAATAAATTGAATTAAAAACCTTGTAAACGGGGTAATCAGGGTTTTGGGTTTTAATCTCTTTGATTATTTTTTTGCAGTTTTTGATTTTGTTTAACCCAGTTTCCTCTGCATCTGAGTGCTCTGTAGCAAGAGGTTCTAAAGACAATATGTTTTTGGAAAACGGCGCAACTGCAATTTTTGTTTCCTCTTGGTGGGTTAAATTTAACTCAGGTTTTGGTAAATCCCAGAACACGTTATCAGATTTTTGCTGCACGTGACTGACCATGGGGAAAACATCAAATTCAACGTCCTCAACACTGAAACATAAAATTAGAAACGAAAAATACAATCAAACAATTTATACCATAGCTGTTTTTCCATTTCTTTTTTTAATGAGGAAGGCACTCCGCTTAGTAAAAATTGTCTTCTGGCCTCTGCCACCTTCGGATCCAACTTGGCTTTGGGTGCAGCTTTCAAAAAAACCGGCGCTACTTTTACAGTGCCCTTTTTCTTCTTTCTAAACATTTCTTTTTCTTCATCTGAGTCTGAATAAACAAAGTCCATTTTTGGTTTAGCTTTTCGGGTTCTTAGTGACCGCTTTTCAACACTTGTTCCATTTTCAGGGGGCTTTTCTTCATTTACAACAGCGCACTCATCCAAAGATAAGTCTTTATTTGCTTCTTTAGGTGACTCAACTTTTTCATTCTCATTTGAAACTAAATCCTCACTAGTTGTTTCAGCTTCTTTGTTCTGATCCATGGACAGTTTGATTTTAAACTTCCACGATTTTACAGATTTTGGTGTCAATTTCAGTTCTTTTTCAATTCCATCACTCTTGATGGTTTTGTCTAAAGACAGCTTGTTTCTTCGTTCTTTTTTAACATTTTCCTTCACGTCGTTACTGTTTTCGCCGTCAGACTCAATCACCGCACACCTCTTTTTCCTCGTCCTGATCACCTCATCGTCGCTCTGACAATCAATGTTCAAAATCCTCTTAAGCTTCTTCTTTCTCTTTTCTAACTTATAATCAATATAATTACCAGTTTCTTCGTACTCTCGCTTCCGCTTGGAAGCCCCTTTCTGTTCAGACCAACTCTCCAGTCGACTTTTCCTCAATTTTAACTCTTCTTTAGACACCACGCTATCAGGGGACGCGCTTAAATCAGCCTCTCGACCTGGAGAATTACTTCCGATGCTCTTGTGTCTGCTGTTCATCATGAACTGAAACGCGTTCATTTTTGGGGGCCCAGAACGATTTTCTTTCTCGTCGTGGCCGTTCGTACCTTCCACTTCCTTCGATTCCCCTTTTTTAGGCTTGTTTTTGGCATTTTCTGGACAAGTTTTGGGTGGGTTATCACAATCATCTACGGATTTGTCTGCTGTTGACGCTTCCTTCATTATTCAAACAACTGTTTTTCTAAATTATGCTAAAAACTCATGATTTTCTGCAACACAAAACGGCTTGGCGCCAAATCGCGAGATTGTTGTTGACATTGTGCGCTTTTCGAGGTTATGTGAGGTTATGTCATTGTGGCTAAAGTGCCAATTCGATTAGTAAAAGTTATTGATTTTACGTGCACCCTGTTTTATTAATTGCAGAGGGACGTTATTGAATCAACCGTGGACGGGTTTGCAATTTTTGTAGTCGTTTTTCGTTTAAAACAACTTTCGTGCGTATTTTTGTACGTTGGTATTGCTGCACGCGTCAGTTGGTACTGGAATGTCACCAGCAAAAAAGAAACGTCAGTAGTGGAGTTTGTTACGTCAAAATATTCGTCCTGTCCAAAAAAGCTTAAATTCTAAGAAAAATCGCCGTATTTTGCAAATTCACAAGTCGTAGGAACGCTATGTCGGTGAGATTTGGCGTTATAGAAGATTGAAACAACATGCCCTTGACATTCAAGTAGATTCCTGTGCCAAATAACATCAGGTATTTTTTTCTTCTTAATTGTTCTTTATTACGTCTTCTATTATTGTACGTGGTTCAGTGTGTTACGGCCGTTTAATTTCGACTCGGATTTGTATAGAGCTATGTCTTCGTTGTTGTTAAACTTCAAAGGTCGAAATGAGAGTAACACCAAGGATGTTCGTCATATGGCCTTTAGAAGTGTAATAATAATCGTGAAGTTTGTTCTTTAGTATTCAAACTTTCGTTAATTAGGTTACTGATTGGAACAATTCCCATTTTTGCTATGGACTCTATTATTTTTGTGTAAATAGCGCCTGGTTGTTTATCAAGCCGCAAAACATTGCATAACGTTGTTTTTTTACATTAAAAAAATAACTTTCAGTTCGATGAGCGCGACAACTTTCATTTCAGACACCCAGAAATATCAACTGTTGCATTAATTAAATCACCGTTTTGGTCATAAATTATCATAATGAGTCCCGCTTATCCGACCGACAAAAACAGCTTATCAATTAAGCCAGTTTGCATATTCGTAGCCTTGGAAAAGCTCGGCGACGTGGTTTCTTCGATCGGTGAAAGCTTAACTAGACAGAGGTCAATTAACTTTGCTTTGAAGTGGGTTTTTCTTTATTAAAAAGTAAATACACAGATAAGTTGAACACTTTGCACTCGAGCGAGTAGATACAAAGTAGAGCAAAAACTGAATGCTTGTACAATGACAAAAGTTAACTACAGGTGTAGTTGAACATTTGTTGTTTTTTTTTGCAGGGTTACAATGGATTCCGAACTGTCCAGCGCTGACATCTGCCGCGTGTGTCGCTCCGAGGGGGTCCCAGAGCGCCCCCTTTTCCATCCTTGCATATGCACCGGCAGCATCAAGTGGATTCACCAAGAATGCCTAATGCAGTGGATGCGTTACTCCCGCAAAGAATACTGCGAACTCTGTTCCTACCGCTTCTCCTTCACCCCCATTTACTCCCCGGATATGCCTAGACGACTGCCCGTTAAAGACCTAGCCGCCGGTCTCCTATCCTCCATCGGTACCGCCATCAAGTACTGGTTACATTACACTTTAGTCGCTATAGCGTGGTTGGGAATAGTCCCTTTAACCGCGTGTCGGATATACAGGGCGTTGTTCGCGGGAACCGTAGACGCCATTTTAACCCTCCCCTTCGAACTTCTATCAATGGAAAATCTAGCGTCTGATATTTTTCAAGGCTGTTTCGTAGTCACTTGTACTTTGTTCGCTTTCGCGGGGTTGGTTTGGCTGAGGGAGCAGATTTTGCACGGCGGAGGGCCCGATTGGTTGCAGAGAGACAACGCCGGATTGCCCGCAGAAGACGCTCCAGCTCCCATCTTAAACAACAATATCCCCGAAGAGGTGGAAAACCCCGAAGAGAACGTCCAAGAGCCGGAAGCCGCAATACAACCACAAGAGAATCAAGTGGAAGCGCAGGAAGAAAACGAAGTCAACGGAGGCGAAGACAATAATTGGATACCGATGGAGTGGGATAGAGCAGCTGAAGAAATCACCTGGGAGAGACTATTGGGTTTGGACGGATCCCTCATGTTCTTGGAACACGTGTTCTGGGTGATCTCCCTCAATACTCTCTTCATTCTCATCTTCGCCTACTCTCCCTACCACATGGGTCTGATGACGTTGTCGTTAGTCAACATGCGCGAAACCGCTTCCGCTAGTCACTTCGAAGGGTTGCTGACCACCCTCGTCGGCTACTGCACAGTCGGTTTGTTCTTCGTCTTCTTCCACAGAGTCGCAGGCGTTTTAGGCTTCTACAAAGCTAAACGCGTCCTGGGCTTGTGCTACGTCGTCGTCAAAGTCTCCATGCTCTCGGTAGTCGAAATCGGAATTCTTCCTCTAGTTTGCGGCTGGTGGCTCGATATTTGTTCGTTGGCCATGTTCGACGCGACTCTCAAAGACCGCGAAAATAGCTTCAGCGCGGCTCCAGGCACCTCCATTTTCATCCACTGGCTAATCGGCATGGTCTACGTCTACTACTTCGCTTCTTTCGTACTGCTTCTGCGCGAGATTCTCCGTCCCGGCGTCCTGTGGTTCCTCCGCAACTTCAACGACCCAGATTTCAGTCCCATCCAAGAAATGATCCACTTGCCGATACTCGAACACATCCGGAAGTTGCTCATTTCGGCAGTTATTTTCGGAAGCGTCGTTCTGTTGATGTTGTGGCTCCCAATCCGGATTTTGAAGATCCTGTTGCCGAGTTTTCTCCCGTACACGGTGTCCCTGAATAGCGAAACCCAAGTCAACGAACTATCCCTGGAGTTGCTTTTGTTGCAAGTCATCCTCCCGGCGTTGTTGGAGCAGTCGCACACGAGGATTTGGCTCAAGGGCTTGGTGAGGAACTGGTGTCGAGCGGTGGCGTGGGTGCTCAATATACACTCGTACCTCCTGGGGAACTCAGACGGTCAAGAAAATCGGGAAGAGGCGGCCAACGCAAACGGACAAGCGGTAATTAACCCGCCCGAGCCGGGAGCGGGCTTAGGGGCGGCACATCAAGCGCTGCTCATGATGGAGCCGCCGTCAGGTAAGAACTTTACTTTGTGTCCAAGATCGTAGAACAATTCTTTCTAGGTTTCCAACCCTATGAACGCCCGTCGTTCTTCGTCGCGCGCCTCGTCGGCCTCCTCGTCCTCGTCTGCGTCTCGCTGGTGGCCTTCAGTCTAACCGCCCTCACTCTCCCGGTGTGGCTGGGCCGCCGCGTCATGGCCCTGTGGCTCGTAGGCGCGCCGCCTCCGGGTCCTCAAATATCCGCCACTGCCGCCCAAACCGAAGTCAAAGTCCACGAACTCTACACAGCCGCTTGCGGTCTCTACCTGTGCTGGTTGTCGGCCCGGGCCGTCACCCTCATCATGAGCTGGTTGCCCCAAGGCCGCGCCGCTATGATGTCGCGGCTCAAGCAGTGGTGCATCCTCGGCTTAAAAACCATGGTCGCCAGTACCATCCTCCTCGGGGTCATTCCGCTGCTCTTCGGCCTGCTCCTGGAACTAGTGGTTATAGTCCCGCTTCGTGTACCCATCCACCAAACCCCCATCCTGTTCATCTGGCAGGACTGGGCGCTGGGTGTGCTCTACACGAAAATAGCGTGCGCGGTGACGATGATGGGTCCCGATTGGTTCCTGAGGGCGGCGATCGAAAGAGCGTACAGAGACGGCATCAGGGATATGCATCTGAGTTTTATTTTTAAACAGTTGGCGGCACCGGTGATCGTGAGTTTTGGGTTGGCGTTGGCCATACCGTACGTGCTCGCGTATTCGGCGGTACCGCTGTTCGTGAGTAGTCTGCAGATGAGGAATCTGATCGCGCGAAGGCTGTACCCGTTCTTGTTGCTGCTGTGTGTTGTGGGTGTGGTGGTAGTTTTACAAATTAGACAATTTAAGAAGTTGTATGAGCACATTAAGAACGATAAGTACTTGGTTGGGCAAAGATTGGTCAATTACGATCACAGGAAAGCTAAAGCGCAGACGGACACTTAAATTCTCGATTAGGGTGTTTCTTCTTTGAGTTTTTTTTTAAATAACGGTTTTCCAGTTCGAGGTTAGGTTCATTCCTGTAAATATTATTTATTTTTTATTGTATATATGGCAGAAATATATTTTCTTTCGTATTTATAGGAGTGTATTTACGTTATGACAACGTGGTGTTAGTGCTTGACCCTTCATCGTAATGGAAGTCTGTGATATATGCGAGAATGTTAGACATTTTTGAATTTCTGATTTTAAAAAAGGACTCTTGAGACCGGCGCTTTGAAAAAGCTAAAGGTTGGCACTAATCTCACCCTAGATTACTACACAGTCACGTCAGTTAGATTCGATACGTCTGTACTATTATATCTACTTATTTTACTATAATAAAGACTGTTTTTCCAACCATTTTGTTGTATTTGATGTGCGTGAAAATGAGCAATACACAAAAATTGCATTCCGAAATTCAAGACCTATACGGCTTCCCGGCTTGCACGATGGGGATTTTCCTACAGCACTCGTCCACCGTTCGGTTCCTTGGAACGGTCACAATGAGTACTCCGTCTGAATACAACGTCGATTCCACGTTGTTCATGTCGTAGTACCCTTTAGACAGGATAAACTTCTTGATGAACTGGCTCGAAACTAACTGGTGATCACCCTGTTTGTCGATTTGTCTCGCTTGAATTATTATTGTGCTGTCCATGACTTCCACGTTGATATCTCCTGATTGGTACTGCTCGACATCCACGACCGCTTCAAATTTATCGTCGTCGAAACTAACACTCCCAAATCCCGAATTTTGTCGTACGTCGGAAAGGTACCATGCACGAAATGACGTTCGTGGTATACGGAAAAGGTTGGTAAAGCGCGGAATCATTTCATTTTTCTTTTATAAGACGTTTTAAACTTTAGATATCTCAAGACCAGAAGAAACCGTTTTGATTCATTTTTGGGTGTCAAAGTGACGTTTTCTGTGGTCAAAAGATATCAGTTTATTATTTCAAGTAGCAAACCAAATGTATGTTTTAGACGAATTTTCAATACTAAATTAACACAAAAATATTGTTCAAACAACGATTTAAATAAAACAATTAAATACAATAAGTTTAAAAAGCAGAAGGGATGAATCAGAACAATGTGGAAAATCTTACACGTTATTATTGAAACACCTAATTTGTTTATATTTTAAAAAACAACATGGAAAATTACCGGTACACAAATATGTACGAGACGTCATCGCACAACAGTTCATGGAATATTTACACTCGTTCGCTAAGTTTAAATTTTCTTATGGACATTTCAGTGTCGGATTATACTCCCACGAGACCGGGAAATTTCCCCGAAATAGTCTACTTTTTTTTCCGTCTGTCCGGATTTTTAACTTTAACGTCAAAATTGCCCTATTTTCTTAAAAAAATGATAAAGCACCCTATAATAAATTAAAAAACAAAATGAGGGGTGAAACATACATTTAATTTTATAGAAATGCATACTTCTGCGTGTGTGATTCATGAATCCGTAGCGAATATTTCCTTATACAAATTTTCCAATTTAAACATGTTTTAAGCTTCATGTTGTGAAAATAAGTCTACACATATTAAAACCAACACGCAAATTTTAAGCCCGCCCACCCGCCCTGTCGCAATTGTGATGATTTTTTTATTCGACGTGAAGCAAGAGGGCGGAGTTTAACTGCAAAATACTTATTTCTTCACAAGAAATTAAAAACATGCTTTTGAGTATCGTGTTGTTCAAAGAATACTATGTATATTAAGAAAAAAAAGCCAAAATATTAACCCCGCCCACCCACCCCATCTCAATTGTGATGGTCTTTTCTATTCTTAGAAACTTAAAACACGTTTATAATGGTGAATTTTGGTAACGAAATAGGGATTTTGCAATTAGGCTCCGCCTCTAGGTCTGCCAACGAATGAAATCTTGATTACTATTTAGATCAGGGCAGGTATGGGTGGGTCTTAATTTTTGGCGTTAATTTTTTGAAAAACACGATATTCCAAAACATGTTTTACATAGTAATGTGTTGTAAAGAAATAATAAGGATTTGCAATTAAATTTCGCTCTTTTAACTGTCGACGATTAAAAAAGTCATCACAATTGAGACCGGGCGGGTGGGCGGGGCTTATACTTGCTTTTTTTCTCAATATACGTAGTCGTCTTTTCAGAACAAGAGACTTAAAACATGTTTAAAATGGTAAATTCTTGTGAACAAATATAGATCTTGCAATTAAGCCCCGCTCCTCGATCTGACAACGAATGAAAAATTCATCACAATTGAGATCGTGGCGAGTATGGGTGGAGCCTAATATTTGGCTTTATTTTTTTCTTAATATACATAACTAGTATCCTTTGAACAACACGATACTCAAGAACATGTTTCTAGTTTCTCGTAAAGAAATAAATTTTGCCTTTCTTTCTTAAAATGTGTAAATTTATTTCGACAACAAGAAACTTAAAACATGCGGAAACATATAGAAACCGCTGACTTTGAGATTTTTACAAAAAAAATAAAAAAAACACGTAAACGTCAAAATTGACTTAAAAAAAATGTGTTAAAGCACCTTATAATAAATTAAAAACAAAATGTTGCGGTGTAACGTACCATTTTACTTACTACTAGTTTGTCCCTTTTTTTTGTATTATATATATATATATTTAATTTTATAGGAGTGCATTCTCCTGCATGTGTGATTTATGAATCCGTAGCGAATATTTCCTTATACAAATTTTCCAATTTAAGCATGTTTTAAGCTTCATGCTGTGAAAAGAAATCTGCACCATATTAAAACAAACAAGCAAATTGTAAGCCCGCCCACCCGCCCGATCTCAATTGTGATGATTTTTTTATTGGCCGTGAACTAAGGAGGCGGAGTTTAACTGCATGACTTATTGCTTTACATGAAATTAAAAGCTTGTTTTCCAGTATCGTGTTGTTCAAAGAATAATATAAAGAATCCAAAATATGAATTTCTTGTAAAAAAATAATAAAGATTTTTCAATTAAATTTCGCTCTTTTAACTATGGACGATTAAGAAAATCATCACAATTGAGATAAGGTGGGTGGGTGGGGCTTATATTTTTCCTTTTTTCTTAATATACATAGTCGTCTTTTCAGAACATGAAATTTAAAACATGTGTAAAATGGTAAATTCCTGTAAACAAATATTGATCTTGCAATTAAGCCCCGCCCCTCGATCTGGCAACGAATGAAAAATTCATCACAATTGAGAATTGAGATTGGGTCGAGTATGGGTGGAGCTTAATATTTAGCTTTATTTTTTTCTAAATATGCAAATACATAGTATCCTTTGAACAACACGATACTCAAGAACATGTTTCTAGTTTCTCGTAGAGAAATAAGGACTTTGCAGTTAAGCTCCGCCTTCTTGGCTCACGACGAATAAAATAAAATCACTACAATTGAGACTGGGTGGGTGGGTGGGGCTACATTTTGCCTTTATTTCTTAAAATGTGTAGATTTATTTCGACAACAAGAAACTTAAAACAAGCGGATCCATATAGAAACCGCTGACTTTGAGATTTTTATAAAAAAATAAAAAAAAACACTTGAACGTCAAAATTGACTTTTTAAAAAATATATGTTAAAGCACCTTATAATAAATTAAAAACAAAATGTTGGGGTGTAACGTACCATTTTACTTACTACTTGGTTGTCCCTTTTTTTTTGCTATTATGTATATTTAATTTTATAGGATTTGCATACTCCTGCATGTGTGATTTATAAATCCGTAGCGAATATTTCCTTATACAAATTTTCCAGTTTAAACACGTTTTAAGCTTCATGTGAAAAGAAGTCTGCACCATATCAAAACAAACAAGCAAATTGTAAGCCCGCGCACCCGCCCGATCTCAATTGTGACGATTTTTTTATTGGCCGTGAACTAAGGAGGCGGAGCTTAACTGCAAAATACTTATTTCTTTACAAGAAATTAAAAACATGCTTTTGAGTATCGTGTTGTTCAAAGAATCCTATGTATATTAAGAAAAAAAGCCAAAATATAAACCCCGCCCACCCACCCCATCTCAATTGTGATGATCTTTTTTATTCTTAAAAACTTAAAACACGTTTATTAAAATAGTAATTTTTTTAAGAAAATAGGGATTTTGCAATTAGGCTCCGCCCTCTAGGTCTGCCAACGAATGAAATCTTCATTACAACATATTTAGATCAGGGCAGGTATGGGTGGGGCTTAGTCTTAGGCTTTATTTTTTTAATATACGTATTTTTTTTAGAATTCATTGAACAACACAATACTCAAAAACATGTTTTTAATTTCTCGCAAAGAAATAAGGATTGCAGTTAAGCTCCGCCTTCTTGGCTCACGACGAATAAAAAAACTCATCACAATCGAGATAGGGTGGGTGGGCGGGGCTACATTTTTGCATTTCTTTCTTAATATGTGTAGATTTATTTCGACAAGAAACTTAAAACATGCGGATCCATATAGAAACCGCTGACTTTGAAATTTTTACAAAAAAAATAATAAAAACACTTGAACGTCAAAATTGACCTATTTTAAAAAATATATGTTAAAGCAACTTATAATAAATTAAAAACAAAATGTGGGGTGTAACGTACCATTTTACTTACTACTAGTTTGTCCCTTTTTTTTTTTGTATTACATATTTATATATTTAATTTTATAAGATTGCATACATGTGTGATTTATGAATACGTAGCAAATATTTCCTTATGCAAACTTTCCAGTTTAAACATGTTTTAAGCTTCATATTGTGAAAAGAAGTCTGCACCATATTAAAACAAACAAGCAAATTGTAAGCCCGCCCACCCGCCCGGTCTCAATTGTGATGATTTTTTTATTGACCGTGAACTAAGGAGGCGGAGCTTAACTGCAAAATACTCATTTCTTCGCAAGAAATTAAAAACATGCTTTTGAGTATCGTGTTGTTCAAAGAATACTATGTATATTAAGAAAAAAAGCAAAAATATTAACCCCGCCCGCCCCACCCCATCTCAATTGTGACGATTTTCTTTATTCTTGAAACTTAAAACATGGTTAAAATGGTAAATTTTGGTAAAGAAATAGGGATTTTGCAATTAGGCTCCGCCCCTAGGTCTGGCAACGAATGAAAACTTCATTATAACATATTTAGATCAGGGCAGATATGAGTCTTTGGCTTTAATTTTTTATTAATATACATAGAATTCTTTGAAAAACGTGTCTTACATGGTAATTTCTTGTAAAGAAATAATACGGATTTTGCAACTAAATTTCGTTTTTTTAACTCTCGATGATTAAAAAAATCATCACAATTGAGATGGGGTGGGTGGGCGGGGCTTATATGTTGTCTTTTTTTTTAATATACATAGTCGTCTTTTCAGAACAAGAAACTTAAAATATGTTTAAAATGGTAAATTCTTGTAAGCAAATATGAATCTTGGAATTAAGCCCCGCCCTTCGATCTGACAACGAATGAAAAATTCATCACAATTGAGAAATGAGATCGGGGCGCGTATGGGTGAGGCATAATCTTTGGCTTTATTTTTTTCTTAATTATTCATTCAACAACACGATACTCAACATGTTTTTAATTTCTCGCAGAGAAATAAAAATTTTGCAGTTAAGCTCCGCCTTCCTGACTCACGACGAATAAAAATAAATCATCACAATTGAGACTGGGTGGGTGGGCGGGGCTACATTTTGCCCACATTTAAAATGTTCGCACTTAATTTTAGTTCCCCTGGTGTTTTATTTTCGGATAAATTTAAAGGAATGTGGTGTTCTGTTGCTGGATTAACTTGAAAAAATCATTTGGTGTTTTATTTTTTATAAATTTAGAAAAGTCTTGAGTGTAGCAGTGTTTTTTTTTTTAAATTCGGGAGACTGTTGGGTACCTATGGTGTATTATTTTGGGAACCCATGGAATTTTTTTTTGTAAATTATTTAAAATAATTTTGGGAGACTTTGATGTTCTATTTTCTTGTCCTATGTTTTTGAGTTAATTTTGGGATCCTGTTTTTTTCCCTCTCTTTTCTTAAAGGTATGCCGTTTGCCCAAATCAGTCTTATCTTAGGAAGTATAGTTTTGGAAATTTCATTGTACCCTATAAAATTTTATTGGCAATAACAAGATGGACAGTAGTACAATAGCAAGAGATATTTACAGCTTTAGTTGTCGCGTGCCGATAATCCCCAGATGTTAGAAACCAGAATAATCCAGGTCCGGGCAGGGACCATCGTTACTCATGAACAAATGATGTGTAATTTAGAATCCGTGTCGAGTTTTTACCCTTCACATCGAGATTTTTGGGAAAAAATTCAAAATTGTATTTTACAATTTAACTTTAAAATTGCAAAAACGAATATACTGAAATATTGCAAATGATTTAAGGTTATAGGAAAGATGATAAATCGTTAATCAAAATTTGTTCAAGGCCTTCCCAAAAAATTGTGATGTCATCCACATAACCCTCCACAATTTTTTTACTAGCCTTGTTTTTCTTGGTAGTGTCATCAAAATTCCAAAAACAACAAATATCTAAAAGTGTGTCTGTGAAAACGTGCAAGCATCCGCTGAACGAATTTTTCCCTCAAACTCGCGATTCCCGCCAGAGAGCGTATCCAGAAGTTTCTACGCGCGGACCTATAAATGCATCGCGAGCCGCATTGTATCCCAGTTGAAAGGTCAACACTTCTTGTGTGTGTGCAGTGACTATGTGGTTCGATCCCTTCGATTATTCCCGGCCATCCCGTCTCCTGGACCAGCGCTTCGGTTTAAGCTTAGAGCCCGAGGACCTCTTCTCGCCCATGATCCCGCGGGAATTCCGCAACTACCTCAGCCGTCCCGCGGGGTATCTGCGCCCTTGGCGGTCGGCCGCGTCTGAGCGGGACGCCGGGTCGACTCTCAGCTTCGCCGAGGGTCAGTTCCAGGCCAATTTAGACGTGCAGCAGTTCAAGCCGGACGAGATCACGGTGAGGGTGGTGGACAACACGATATGTGTGGAAGGGAAGCACGAGGAGAAGGAGGACGAGCATGGGTACATTTCGCGACATTTTATGCGGAGGTATGTGGTGCCGCGAGGGCACGATCTGGATAAGGTGGAGTCCAGGTTGTCGTCGGACGGAGTGCTTACGATTACGGCGCCCAAGATTGGGGTGGAAGAAGCGGGGGCGCGGAGTATTGCGATAGTCCAGACGGGACAACCGTCCAAGGTCGTGGAGAAGAAGGAAGAGGAAAGAAGCTGAAAATTATAATTTTCCATTTCTGTAATATTATGTATCTTTAAGTAAATAAACAGCGATAATGAAACCCTTTATTTTCCAACGAACTTAGCCACCCACATTACAACAAAATAAACCCCCAGGATATTGAAACCGTTTCTTAATTTCACAAGTCTCCAAGAAAACTTCTCACGAAGCTCGCCTTTTCAGCACTATAAGGCGATTCGCTGTTGGTTTCTAGATAAAAGTCTCCAGTTTGCTTAGTGTCCAAATCGCCCATATAAGCATACTCGTCGTCGCACAAATAGCTCGTTGTGAATTTGAGCCAGTTGCTACACTTCCTTGCCTTGAACGAGTTAGGTCTTGCCACGGCTTCTGTGAAATACTTCCAGCTCCTCTGGTGATCACACGCAACTATAAAAATTTTCGTTAATAAAAAAAATAGCATTAGGGATAAAAGTACTGACTTATAATGTCTTTGAAACCATCGAGATCTGGAATAAAAGCTTTGAGACACCCAGGCTGGAAACTTCCACCGTTTGGATAAAAATCGAGGGTACCACACTTATCCAGGTAGCCGAAAGTACCACCGTTGGTGTGGATAACGTGGACAACTTCGGCGTCGTGTTGGTTCAGACGTTCCTCTTCTGGTCTAGACGAAAATAAAGGACCTGCAGGATCAAGAGCTACGATTCTTGGGATTTTCTGGTTTGTTAGTTCTTGCACTTTCTTGCCGGTGTAGCCGGAGATTTGACCACCCAGAGAGTGACCGATGACTAGGAAGTTAGAAAGTGGGATGTTGTAGTTTCTGTTAAGGTCCGAAATGAATTCACCAATGATTGCACCTGGAATAAGTCACGGGTTATTTTGATCGAGTACCACATTAGTACCCACCGATGTCCATGGTTGTGTACGACGACAACAAGTACCCCAAGTGGGAGTACTCAGACCAGTCTACTTGAATCACGTAGTACGAACTGTCCCGTTTCAAAAGAGCATCCTTCAAGTCGTCGTACCATGAAACGTCTTTATGCTCCAGCCAGCCATGGATGATGAAAGCGATTTTAGCACGAGGATTGTTTAACGGAGATGGGTTAGTAATATCAAGTGGAATATAACTATCTTTCTCTTTGTTGTGTTTGGTGTATAGATACAATTTAACGTTTTCTAGTTTCACAGGTTCGCGCATTAACCCACGTTCCACTAAAGCAGCCCCAGTGTAAATATTGAACAAGTCGTGTTTAATGTCATCACTGAGGAAAAAGCTGTCGGATCCTGCAACGATTAATTAGGAAAATAGAAAATATGGCCAAAATCAAAGTGAAACTTACTTCCATACTGAACGACACAAAATAGAAGCAACAACTGTACTACTCGTTTGTGCATCTTTGCCGATTTTTGAAAAACTTCTAAAGCCAGAATTTGAAATGGCATCCTTTTATACAATTTTCTTTTTAAGTCGATGTCAAAATTACAATTAATTTTGGTTTTGACTGATAAGATTTATGTTCGTATGTGTACCATCTCGTTTTTTTTTAAAGGCGGTTTCATAAAATCCACAATATTTATCGTTGAGTCATAATATAACGCATTAGGTTTTATTTGATTTATTTATGATCTTTTTTTGCTAGAAGAGACCGACCAAAAAAATGTTTTGCATCCCAATAACCCAGCGTCTATTTCATATACTGTCAGTTGATATGATAGTATTGCCTGTGATATTATTACAGGTATGTAAAATTTTTTCAATCCATACAATTTTCTGGCCTAAATGTAACGAAAAGTAAAATGTATTTCTTTTTAGTTTGGTTACTACAAAAATACGATTTCGTCTTCGACTGGGCGTTCCGCTAATTTATGACTTGCAGCCAGGCGGCCACCTGCACAAAGAGCTGCCGCCTCAGTTTTTTTGCAGTTGTTTCTCATTCTTACTTTGTTTTTTTTTCGTTCAGTAAAGTATACCGCACACTTTTGAAGTTATTGCATTTGTATTCACGTTTTTTCAGTTTGCTTACACAGGGTAATGCAAAAAAATTAATGACTCCATTTATTTTATTAATTAAATCAAGAACTGCAAAACCGAATACCTAGAAATGTTACAGACGATTTAAAGATGGTAATTTTTAGATCAATTGATAACGTCATGTCATAATTTTGCCGAAAAAAAATATTTAAATTGTGCGATTGTGTTAATTATACATATTTCACATGGTATTTTCTCGTAGAAAAATAACGATTTTACAATTAGGCTCCGCCCCTCGGCTTACGACGAATAAAAAAAATCATCAGAATTGAGACAGGGCGGGTGGGCGGGGCTTATATTTTGACTTTTTGTTTTCTTAATATACATAGCCATTTTTTCACAAGAAACTTAAAACATGGTTAAAATGGTACATTTTTGCATGGAAATATGGATTTTGCAATTATGGGGCGGAGCCTAATTGCAAAATCGATATTTCCCTTTACTAATTTTCCATTTGTGAAAAGAAGTCTACACATATTAAAATCAAAAGCAAAATTTAAGCCCGCCCACCCGCCCTATCTCAATTGTGATGATTTTTTTTATTCGTTGTGAGCCAAGAAGGGGGAGCTTAACTGCAAAGTACTTTTTTCTTTACAAGAAATTAAAAACATGTGTTTGATTAAGTATATTAAGCAAAAATGCAAAATATAAACACCGCCCACCCTCCCCATCTCAATTGTGGTGACATTTTTATTCTTGGAAATTGAAAACACATTTAAAATGGTAATTTTTTTTAGAGATATATGGATTTTGCAATTAGGCTCCACCCCTAGGTCTAGCAACGAATGAAAAATTCATCATGATTGAAATCGAGACAGATGGGTATAGCTTATTTTTTGTTTGTTTTTTTTTTTTTAATTAACACTTTTAGTTTTCTTTGTTTAACACAGTTACTTCAGAACACATTTCACATGGTTATTTCTCGTAGAAAAATAACGATTTTACAATTAGGCTCCGCCTTCGGCTTACGACGAATAAAAATATCATCAGAATTGAGACAGGGTGGGTGGGCGGGGTTTATATTTTACCTTTTTTTTTAATATACGTAGCCTTTTTTCACAACAAAAAACTTAAAACATGGTTAAAATGGTACATTTTTGCAAGGAAATATGGATTTAGCAATATGGGGCGTAGCCTACACATATGTATTCAAACCAAAAGCAAAATGTAAGACCGGCCACCCACCCTATTTCAATTGTGATGATTTTTTTTTATTCTCCGTGAACCAAGAGGACGAAGCTTAACTACAAAATACTTATTTCTTCACAAGAAATTAAATATATGTGTTTGAGTATCGTGTTGTTCAAACAATACTAGGTATATTAAGAAAAAAATTCAAAATATGAACCCCGCCCACCCACCCCTTCTCAAATGTGGTGATTTTTTTAAATCATAGAAACTTAAAGCGCGTTTAAAATGGTAAATTTTTGTAGAAAAATAAAGATTTTAGAATTAAGCTCCGCCCCTCGGCTTACGAGGAATAAAAAAAATCATCACAATTGGAATGAGGTGGGTGGGCGGGGTTTATATTTTGCTTTTTTCCTTAATATACATAGTATTCTTTGAACAACACGATTCCCAAAAACATGTTTTTAATTTCTTGCAAAAAAACAAGTATTTTGCAGTTAAACTCCGCCCTCTTGGTTCACAGAGAATAAAAAAAATCATCACAATTGAGGTAGGGTGGGTGGGCGGGCATACTTTTTATCTTTTTGTTTTAAGATGTGTAAACTTCTTTTCAGAAGATGAAACTTAAAACATGTTTAAAATGGAAAATTTGTATAAAGAAATATCGATTTTGCAATTAACCTTTGCCCCGTAATTGCAAAATCCATATTAAAATGGCTACGCATATTAAGAAATACAAGGTAAAATATAAGCCCCGCCCACCCACCCTATCGCAATTGTGATGATTTTTTTTATTCGTTGTGAGCCGAGAAGGGGAAGCTTAACTGCAAAGTACTTTTTTCTTTACAAGAAATTAAAAACATGTGTTTGAGTATCGTGTTGTCAAAAAATACTATGTGAATTAAAAAAAAACGCAAAATATAAAACACGCCCACCCACCCCATCTCAATTGTGGTGATTTTTTTTATTCTTAGAAATTGAAAACACATTTAAAATGGTAAATTTTTGTAGAGACATGGATTTTACAATTAGGCTCCGCCCCTAGATGTAGCAACGAATGAACAATTCATTGTGATTGAGATTGAGCCGAATGGGTGGGGCTTCTCTTTTTTTTTTTTAATTCACACTTTTAGTTTTCTTTGTACAACACAGTTACTTAAGAACATGTTTTATATGGTTATTTCTCTTAGGAAAATAACGATTTTACAATTAGGCTCCTCCCTCGGCTTACGACCAATAAAAAAAATCATCAGAATTGAGACAGGGCGAGTGGGTGGGGTTTATATTTTACTTTTTTTTTTTCTTAATATACATTGCCATTTTTCACATCCAAAAACTTAAAACATGGTTAAAATGGTACATTTTTGCAAGAAAATATGGATTTTGCAATTATGGGGCGGAGCTTCATGGCATAATTGATATTTTCTTATACAAATTTTCCATTTTAAACGTGTTTTATGTTTCATGTTGTGAAAAGAAGTTACACATATTAAAAGCAAAAGCAAAATTTAAACCCGCCCACCCGCCCTATCTCAATTGTGATGATTTTTTTTATTCGTCTTGAACCAAGGGGGTGGAGCTTAACTGCAAAGTACTTTTTTCTTTCCAAGAAATTAAAAACATGTGTTTGATTATCGTGTTGTCATAAAATACAATGTACATTAAGAAAAAAATGCAAAATATAAACCCCGCCCACCCACCCCATCTTAATTGTGGTGATTTTTTTATTCTTAGAAACTTAAAATACGTTTAAAATGGTACATTTTTGTAGATATATGTGGATTTTGCAATTAGGCTCCGCCCCTAGGTTTAGCAAAGAATGATTGAGATCTAGACGGATGGGTTGGGCTTCTCTTTTGTTTTCTTTTTTAATTAACACTTTTAGTTTTCTTTGTACAACACAGTTATCTAAGAACATATTTCACATAGTTATTTCTCGTAGAAAAATAACGATTTTACAATTAGGCTCCGCCCTCGACTTACGACGAAATAAAAAAATCATCAGAATTGAAACAGAGCGGGTGAGGTTTATATCGTAGCTTTTTTGTTTTCTAATGTTCATAGCCATTTTTCACTACAAAAAACATGGTTAAAATGGTACATTTTTGCATGGAAATATGGATTTTGCAATTATGGGGCGGAGCCTAATTGCATAATCGATATTTCTTTACACAAATTTTCCATTTTAAACATGTTTTAAGTTTCATGTTGTGAAAAGAAGTCTACACATATTAAAACCAAAAGGAAAATTTAAGCCCGCCCACCCGCCCTATCTCAATTGTGATGATTTTTTTTATGCACCTTGAACCAAGAGGGCGGAGCTTAACTGCAAAGTACCTTTTCCTTTACAAGAAATTAAAAACAATATTTGAATATCGTGTTGTCAAAAAATACTATTATGTATATTAAGAAAAAAAAGCAAAATATAAACCCCGCCCCCCCACCCCATTTCAATTGTGATGATTTTTCTATTCTTAGAAATTGAAAACACATTTAAAATGGTAAATTTTTGTAGAGATATATGGATTAGGCTCCGCCCCTAGGTCTAGTAACGAATGAAAAATTCATCATGATTGAAATCGATCCGGACGAATGGGGCTTCTTTTGTGTTTTTTTTTAATTAACACTTTTAGTTTTCTTTGTATAACACAGTTACTTAAGAACATATTTCACATGGTTATTTCTCGTAGAAAAATAACGTTTTTACGATTAGGCTCCGCCCTCGGCTTACGACGAATAAAAGAATCATCACAATTGAGACAGGGCAGGTGGATGGGGCTTATGTTTTACCTTTTTTTTTTTTTTCTTATAATACATAACCATTTTTCACAACAAAAAACTTAAAACATGGTTAAAATGGTACATTTTTGCAAGGAAATATGGATTTTGCAATTATAGGGCGGAGCCTACACATATTAAAACCAAAAGCAAAATGTAAGCCCAACCACCCGTCCTATCTCAATTGTGATGATTTTTTTTTATTCGCCTTGAACCAAGGGGGCGGAGCTTAACTGCAAAGTACTTTTTTCTTTACAAGAAATTAAAAACATGTTTTTGAGTATCGTGTTGTCAAAAAATACTACGCAAATTAAGAAAAAAATGCTAAATATAAACCCCGCCCACCCACCCCATCTCAATTGTGGTGATTTTTTTATTCTTAGAAACTTAAAACACGTTTAAAATGGTAATTTTTTGTATAAAAATAAAGATTTTAGAATTAAGCTCCGCCTCTCGACTTACGACGAATAAAAAAATCATCACAATTGAGAGGGAGTGGGTGGGCGGGGATTTATATTTTGCTTTGTTTCTTTACTATACGTAGTATTCTTTGAACAACACGATTCACAAAAACATGTTTTTAATTTCTTGTAAAGAAATAAATATTTTGCAGTTAAGCTCCGCCCCCTTGGCGCACAATGAATAAAAAAATCATCACAATTGAGACAGGGCGGGTGGGCGGGGCTACATTTTGTCTTTTTTTCTTAACAAGTGTAGACTTATTTCGTCAGCAAGAAACTTAAAATATGTCTAAAAAGGTAAATTTTGGTAGTAATCTACTCAAATCCTCCACTTTTTTTCTACAACCCCTCTAAATACGGCAAAAGTGGAACATCAATGTTACTAACTAACTAGTTACATATAAACAGAGTTTATAAATGACAATTTTCAGCTCTAAAAGCTACTACTACAACGAGATCTTCAACGTGAACAGAAAGTTTATAAATCCCATGTTTTTTTAGATTTGCTTATATACAGTTAGAGTAATTCAAAATCAAATTTTATAAATTTTCGAAAATTTTGGATATGTTTCATTGTACTTCAGTTGCGAAAAAAGTTTTGTCGAAACAACTTTAGACCAATTTTTTTAACTAATTTATTAGTAATTTTATAAACTTTAGTCAAAATCAGTGACAAGATCGTAATATTGGTTGCCTATACTTCCCCCAATCGATAGTGCTTTTATACCAGTTTCTATCAAGAAAGAACAACTGTTTTTGTTATTTAATTTTTTGTATCAATAAAACTACTTATAGGCAAAACAATATACAACTATTATTTATTATATTTATTTATTTATTTAGATTTTAGATTTCATTTAAGTTTTTGAATGAAATTTTTGACAGCTGACAGCATTTGAAACAGATTTGAAAGTTGATGTTTTGTTACGCAAAGGAGGCAAAGACATAACCAAACTTAAAACGGTGGATGCGTGCATTTATAATAATTAATTGAATAAACTGGGTCAACACAATGTGAAGTGTTTGAACGTTGTTTTTATTTATCAAATTCAGCGATTGTTGTATAAATTAAGGCGACCATATTGATTTGAACCTTATGCAGGTGTCTTCAAAGTGCTTATTGTATTTTTCCCCCTTTTCATGTTCATAGTCGAATTAAAATGGTAAACTTGTGATGCCTTGTGAAAGCTTGGACTGTAAACTATTGAAACATTTTAGGACTCACAGGAAGAAAATGAAATCAAAAACATCCTTAAAGGTTTGTTGATATCAAACCCCTTCAGATCCACGCAACAGCAACTATGGAAAGACTTTCAAGAGATGATCGGTCGGGCGATTCCTTTACGAAAACTAGGCTTTCAGACATTTGATGAGTACTTGCGCTCAATTCCGGATGTTGTTCAAGTAGGATTGTATTAATTGTAAAAGGGTAAATTATGTTAAAATTTGTACAGGTTTATGGGTCAGGTCCTTCAGGTGAAGTGGAAGCGGTCACGTCTAAAAGTCAACACATAAATGAGATGGTGTTAAAGCAAAAAAAAGCTGTACCAAAATCCAGAAAGTAAGCAATTTTGGAAATTTTATCTATTGTTATTAATTGTCACGATTAAAGGGTTTACTCCAGGCCCATTTCAACAGTACATCATAGGTTACCTCGCTTTTTCCAAAACAAGTACTCTGTGAAGCTTCCTCCATCAACAAATAAAAAGTCTGAATCAACTTTGGAATCTCCTCCACTACGTGTTGAAAAACTGGATCATCAGTCAGAAACACCAAATAATAGTATTCAACAACCGGCAAAAAATGTATATAAACCTCACCTTCATTTCAACCACAAGCCTCAGCACCAAGAAGAAAATAGTGATTCTCCTGTGATAAATAAAAATGATTATTCAAATCGAATAAATTCAGATCTTTCAAATCAAATCTGTGATGACTCTAGAGACTGTGCAACTGATTATACCGAACAAGCGACATGTTTACCAACCGAAATCAGTCATTCATCTGAAGTTCCTGTAAAAGTTCAAACTAATTTACTCAACCTATTAAAAAAATTTCCTGATGGTATCGAATGTACTAAGTTTCCAGCAGAGTACCGGTATTTTTGTCACACTGTACTTTTGGTTCAAACGTAACTAAATTATTTTAGGGCTATGTATAAAAAGAACATTCATTATGAAGAGTATGGTTATCGATCATTGATTGAGATGTGCCTAGATTTACCCAAGATTTTCAACTATGTTCAACACTCGTCGCACGATTATATGTTGTATGACAAAAAACAGCCACTACCAAGCCAAGATCTGAAAAAAAATTCGGCTAAGCACGTTCAGACTGAAAATGTGATTACGACTCATGTACTGGAAGATCTGCCAAAATTAAATGTAAGATTTTTTTTTTTTGTAAATTAAAAAAAAATGTTTAAGCATATATTTGCTCTGCTGTAGTGGAAAACGTCATCAGCGTTGCTGCCGTCAGACGTTTTTACCATAAACGACCAGATGAGTCGCTTCTTTCCAGCTGATATTCAAGAAGAAGACATTCTTGACATTACAATTGGAGAGATCTATGATCTTTCAAAGTTCTGGTTTTACATGACGTTTGGGGATTTGGATCCTCTTATGGATGAATTGCAGTAAGTTTTAACTAGTTTTAAAATAAGCAAATATTAATTTCGTATTAACAATTTTTGTTTCTAACTTTGGTAAAAGTATAGGAACAAATAGATTATACAGGTATATTTTTTCAGAATATAATTTTCGTTTTGATCATTGCTATCTATGCATTCATTATTATTTAAAAAGAAAAATTAATCAAAGCTGTTTATGAAACGTATAATGGGTTGCCTATGCAGAAATATTCATGCGTGAACAGATTAAATGAACACCCTGTATATTATATGATTATATGTTCTTTTTTTTTAAGACTTTACAAACATACTTAATTTTGGACTGGTTCTATATCCACATTTACAAATTCTCGTACCTACATTTTTTTCTAAAACGGACTTAAATTTCTGAAAAACTTTTCGCCTATCTGCCAAAGTTAGTCTTGTCTTAGCAAGTATTTACCCCGCCCACCCACCCACGTTATTCTCATACTAAGGACTAATTTTATTTCTGTCTAGTATGGGATCCACTTATATTCATATCAGATAAAATGAATCACTGAAATAGAGGTAGGGTGGGTGGGCGGGGCTAAGTTTAACTTTTTCTTGCACAGTCCATTATACACAAGGAATAGCCCCGCCCATTCGCCTCCTCTTCATTCTATTAACTATTCTTAATATTGTTTAGTCTTATCTTAGCAAGTACTAGCCCCACCCACCCACCCTCTATTTTCTTAAAGAGTGTCATCTGCCAAAGTTAGTCTTATCTTAGCAAGTACTAGTCCCGCCCACCCACCCACGCTATTCTCATACTAAGGACTAATTTTATTTCTGTCCAGTATGGGATCCACTCTCATTTTCAATCTTTCTAGTTTTCGATTCTTTCACTTTTGATTTTACGAATTTTCGTTTTTTCAATGCTTATTAAAATTTTTAGAATACCCGCTTTTACAAGTTTTCTATTTCTCAGATTTTGAACGATTCGATTTTGGGAATTTTTCCAATCCTGCATTTTTTTAATTTTTCGATTATTCAATTTTAGATTTTTCGGGTTCGCCGATTTCTCGGTGTCTCGACCTTTCGATTTCTCGATCTCTCGATATTTTGATGTCTCGATTTCTGGATGTTGTCTCGATTCATCGAAATCGGTTTTTCGAATTTTGTATTTTCGAATTTTAGGTTTTCCGCTTTCCCAGATTTTCGTTTTTGTTAAATATTTGATTCATCGAATTTTCAATTTTTCGAAATTCGTTTTTCCAATTTCTCGTTTTTTCAGGTTTTGAATTCTACGATTTTTCTCAAATTTACGATTTTTCGAATTTTCAGTTTTTCAAAATTTCGATTTTTGATATTTTGAGTTTTCGATTTTCGATCTCGAATTTTCAATCTTTCTACTTTTCGAGTCTTTCACTTTTGATTTTACGAATTTTCCATTTTTCAATTTATCGAATTTACGATTTTGTAATATTTTAATTTTTCGATTTTACAAGTTTTCTATTTCTCAGATTTTCAATAATTCAATTTTGGGAATTTTTCTAATCCTGGATGTTTCAATTTTCCAATTTTTCGATGTTTAGATTTCTCGGTTTTTCGATTTTTCGATTTTATAATTTTCGGTTTCAGAATTTTCGATTTTTTCTTAGATTTTTCCATTTATCGAAATCTTGATTTTCGAATCTTTGATTTTTCGGTTTTGCCAATTTTAGGTTTTCCGTTTTCCCGGATTTTCGTTTTTGTTGAATATTTGATTCGTGGAATTTTCATTTTCTTTCCTTTTGGACTTCTCGTTGTTCCAGTTTTTGGATTCTTTGATTTTTCTCACATTTTCGAATTTTCAATTTTTCACAATTTCGATTTTTGGTATTTTTAAATTTTCGATTTTCGATCTCGAATTTTCAATCTTTCTATTTTTCGATTCTTCACTTTTGATTTTTCCAATTTTCGATATTTCAATTTTTACATTTTTCAGTTTTTAGACTTCAATTTTTTTTTAAATTCGATTTTTCAAAATTCCAATTCAATTCTTCAGTTTTTTTCAGTGTTGTTCAATGGGAGCCGACAATAACTTCTGGGAGTCGAATTACAAAAAATTTCTCTAGGTAATTTTCGAGGGTGGTTGAAAAATGATCAAAAATATTGAAAAATTGTTGAGGTTTTTGAGAAATTGACAAAAAATCTACAAAACATTCGGGGAAGTAAATCTCAAGGTGCTAATCCGAAAATTTAAAGATTTTGTTATTCCAAAACAATATTTTCGAAATATTCGGTTTGAAAACCATTTTTTTAAATAATCCGGAAATTTGAAATATTTCAATAGTTGATAAAAATGACGCCGTCTAGTAACTACTCTTAATATTGTTTAGTTTATTCTTATGTTAGCAAGTACTAACCCCGCCCACCCACCCACGCTATTCTCATACTAAGGACTAATTTTATTTCTGTCCAGTATGGGATCCACTCGCATTTTCAATCTTTCTAGTTTTCGATTCTTTCACTTTTGATTTTACGAATTTTAGATTTTTCAATTTACCGAATTTACGGTTTTGTAATATTTGAATTTTTCGATTTTCCAAATTTCTCATTACTGGACTTCTCGTTTTTTGAGTGCTTATTAAAATTTTTAGAATACTCGCTTTTACAAGTTTTCTATTTCTCAGATTTTGAACGATTCAATTTTGGGAATTTTTCCAATCCTGGATTTTTTAATTTTTCGATTATTCAATTTTAGATTTTTCGGGTTCGCCGATTTCTCGGTGTCTCGACCTTTCGATTTCTCGATCTCTCGATCTTTTGATGTCTCGATTTCTGGATGTTGCAATTTTTCGATTTATTTCTCGATTTCTCGGCTTTTCGATTTTTCCTTTTTTAGAATCTTCGCTTTCAGAATGTTTGATTTTTTCCTGGATTTTTCGATTCATCGCAATCGGTTTTTCGAATTTTATATTTTCGAATTTTAGGTTTTCCGCTTTCCCAGATTTTCGTTTTTGTTAAATATTTGATTCATCGAATTTTCAATTTTTCGAAATTCGTTTTTCCAATTTCTCGTTTTTTCAGGTTTTGAATTCTACTTGCTAAGATAAGACTAACTTTGCAGATGACACTCTTTAAGAAAATAGTGGGTGGGTGGGTGGGGCTAGTACTTGCTAAGATAAGACTAAACAATATTAAGAGTAGTTACTAGATGGCGTCATTTTTATCTACTACTGAAATATTTCAAATTTCGGGATTATTTAAAAAAAATGGTTTTCAAACCGAATATTTCGAAAATATTGTTTTGGAACAAGAAAATCTTTAAATTTTCGGATTAGTACCTTGAGATTTATTTCCCCGAATGTTTTGTAGATTTTTTGTCAACTTCTCAAAAACCTCAACAATTTTTCAATATTTCTGGTCATTTTTCAACCACCCCCGAAAATTAGCTAAAGAATTTTTTTGTAATTCGACTCCCAGAAGTTATTATCGGCTCCCATTGAACAACACTGAAAAAAACTGAAGAATGGAATTGGAAAATTGAAAAATCGAATTGTAAAAAAATTGAAGTCTAAAAACTGAAGAATGTAAAAATTGAAATGAAAATTCGAAAAATCAAAAGTGAAGAATCGAAAACTAGACAGATTGAAAATTCGAGATCGAACATCGAAAATTCAAAAATACAAAAAATCGAAATTCTGAAAAATTAAAAATTCGAAAATTCGAGAAAAATCAAAGAATCTAAAAACTGGAACAACGAGAAGTCCAAAAGGAAAGAAAATGAAAATTCGACGAATCAAATATTCAACAAAAGCGAAAATCCTGGAAAACGGAAAACCTAAAATTGGAAAAACCGAAAAATCAAAGATTCGAAAATCAAGATTTCGATACATGGAAAAATCTAAGAAAAAATCGAAAATTCTGAAACCGAAAATTATAAAATCGAAAAATCGGAAAATTAAAAAATCGAGTAATCGAAATTTAAAAGATTCGAATCTCGAAAAATCGAAAATTCGAAATTTCAAAAAATTGAAAATTCGCAAAGTCGAAATATCGAAAAACCGAGAAATCTAAATATCGAAAAATTGAAAAATTGAAACATCCAGGATTAGAAAAATTCCCAAAATTGAATTATTGAAAATCTGAGAAATAGAAAACTTGTAAAATCGAAAAATTAAAATATTACAAAATCGTAAATTCGATAAATTGAAAAATGGAAAATTCGTAAAATCAAAAGTGAAAGAATCGAAAAGTATGAAGATTGAAAATTCGAGATCGAAAATCGAAAACTCAAAATATCAAAAATCGAAATTTTGAAAAACTGAAAATTCGAAAAATCGTAAATTTGAGAAAAATCGTAGAATTCAAAACCTGAAAAAACGAGAAATTGAAAATCTAATTTCGAAAAATTGAAAATTCGATGAATCAAATATTTAACAAAAACGAAAATCTGGGAAATCGGAAAACCTAAAATTCGAAAAACCGATTTCGAAAAATCCGGGAAAAAATCAAACATTCTGAAAGCGAAGATTTTAAAAAAGGAAAAATGGAAAAATCTAGGATTGGAAAAATTCCCAAAATTGAATTGTTCAAAATCTGAGAAATAGAAAACTTGTAAAAACGAGTATTCTAAAAATTTTAATAAGTATTGAAAAAACGAGAAGTCCAGTAAAGAGAAATTTGGAAAACCGTAAATTCGATAAATTGAAAAATCGAAAATTCATAAAATCAAAAGTGAAAGAATCGAAAACTAGAAAGATTGAAAATGCGAGTGGATCCTATACTGGACAGAAATAAAATTGGTCCTTAGTATGAAAATAGCGTGGGTGGGTGGGCGGGGTTAGTGCTTGCTAAGATAAAACTCACTTTGGCAGATGACAATCTTTAAGAAATTAGAGGGTGGGTGGGTGGGGCTAGTATTTGCTAAGATAAGACTAAACAATATTAAGAGTAGTTAATAGAATGAAGAGGAGGCGAATGGGCGGGGCTATTCCTTGCTTATAATGGACTGTGCAAAAAAAAAAGATTAAACTTAGCCCCGCCCACCCACTCGTTTTTTCGTTTTTTTTTTGTTACAAAGTAAGAAATAAATCTTAATGTAAACAGTATAACAAAAAGCTTACTGTGAGGCCTTTTTTTCTTTTATAACAGCTCCACCCACAGTCTACAGAACATATAACTAATTTTTTAAATAATCCTGAAATTTGAAATATTTCAATAGTAGGTAAAAATGACGCCCTCTAGTAACTACTCTTAATATTGTTTAGTCTTATCTTAGCAAGTACTAGCCCCACCCATCCAGCCTCTATTTTCTTAAAGAATGTCATCTGCCAAAGTTAGCCTTATCTTAGCAAGTACTAACCCCACCCACCCACCCGCGCTATTCTCATACTAAGGACTAATTTTATTACTGTTCAGTATGGGGTCCGGTTTCATTCTGACCAGATAAAAAAATCACTGAAATGGAGGTACGGTGGGTGGGCGGGATTAGTTACATATTCTTCTCTATAGTAGGAGTGGGGCTGTTAAAAAAGAAAAAAAATGGGTAAACCCTATTTTTGTATTATTTACATTAAGATTTATTTCCTATTTTAGAAGAAGAAATGAGAACGGGTGGGTGGGTGGGGCTAAGTTTAACTTTTTCCTGGAGAGTCTCTTATTTTATGGGATCCACTATCGAAAATATGGGGGAGGGGTGGGTGGGCGGGGTTAATTATATATTCTTCTGTAGAATGGGAGTGAAGATGTTAAGAAAGAAAAAAAAGCCTTATAGTAATTTTTTGTTACACTATTTACCTTAAGATTTATTTCTTATTTTGTAAGAAAAAAATTAGAAAACTTGTGGGTGGGCGGGGCTAAACTTAACTTTTTTTGCAGAGTCCTTTATAAGTAAGAAATATTAATTATTATATGTTCTTCTGTAGAATGGGAGTAGGACTGTTATAAAAGATGTTGATGACGTCATCACAAAGTTTTTGTAAGAATTATAATATTCAGAGCATTTTGTTCGATTGTGTTTTAATTAATAATTTTAGTCCTGTTTTGAGAAGACAAACTCATTAAAATCAGACTTCTACGTGACATTCTTTCGATGTACAAACATAAATAAACACTTGAGCTTGAGATTGCTATTACGTACGGCTGAAGGACAAGGGGTGTTATTTATGCCTCTGGTTTTTACTTCACAACTGTTATCACAAAACGAAAATTGTAAAATCAAATTTTATAATTTTTTATAGGAGCCTTCATTTTTTAGATTTGCTTATACCGGGTCACTCAAAAAAATTAAAGAATCGTCAATTTATTTTATTGAATAAATCACGAATTACAAAACTGAAAAATAAAAGAGAAAAGAGAGGGTGGGTGGGCGGACTAGTAATAGTAATCAACATTGTATACCAATTTTTTACAATTTAAAACTTTATGCAGTTTTAAAGTTAAATCGCAGGATTTTTTTCAAAGAGTGACTTATGCATCGCAATTTTCAGGATTTTTTTTTCGAAGAACAGCACCGCTTACCTTGTACCGGAGTTACTACTAGAAGAGGGACTGTACTGTGTGGCTATGTACTCCGGCCTGTACCACCGCTGCGTTATTGTCAATATGGTGCCGAAGATACCCGAGTGCGTACGAGTCAGTAATTTTTTGTGTGTAATAGGTAAATTTTGTTAATACGGTGCGTTCCCGGTAGGTATTTTTCGTCGATTATGGAACCGTCGAGAACGTCCCTTCCAAAGAAATTTGGTTCCTACCGAAGCGCTTCGGCGAAGTGCCCTGTCAAGCGATTAGGGGACGCTTGGCCAACATATACCCAGTGGGCGAAAATCAACCGTGGAAGGTTTCGACCGTGCGAAGACTCGAACAACTCATAACGAACCGAGTTGTCGTAGGAAAAGTGACCAGAGTCGACGAGAAGGACCACTTTGTGGATTTATACTTGGCGGATATTACAAACAAGGATAAGATATTCTACATTAACGATATTTTCGTGGACGAAGGACGTGCACTTTACATCGGCGACGTATGTATATATTTGAATTTGTGTTGCCATAATCGAGTCCTGTTTTCCCCTCAGGAAAGAAAAAAGACTTTGGTGGATCACGACTGCACCCCCAATGTGCGATACATTCACTTATATCCCGAATTTTACGAAATCGAAGCCGGAATGGCGCCGACGACGGAAGAAAGAAAGTACATCTTCGCCAACAAAATCCCGATGCACCACTACATGCCGCAGTACTTCGACATATACTACAACGAAGACATCCACCAAATCGTCCGCGACTTTGAAAACTTCGGCCGCAAAAGAAAGAAGAACATCGTCATTCCTACAATCGACCTCGAGTTCGACTTTTCCTTCTTCCCTGATCACTTGGTCGACGAAATCAAAGAACTGTATTTGCAAGACCACCCACACGCCGAAGTGGAACTATCGCAGAGTCGAAAATCCGTAAAAAGTGAAAGTGGGTGTAAACCAGACTCTACAAAAACCGTAGTTAAAAGCAAATCGAACGCTGACGGTGAGAAAAAAACGAACGGCTCAGTTAAAGAGTATTTTTGTAACAAAAAACGTATTTCAGAGATAAGACAAGGTACGACCGGTGCTGCTAAAATGGAAACGGGCGACACTAAAAACTCGCGCGAGAATTCGTTCGGGAGTAAATCGTTTGGTGACTTTGACCGGTCTACGGAAGCCGCGGCTCTAACGAACACTTTTCGACAACTAAGTGTGAATAATAACGATTCGGGTGTGATGAGTATCACCCCGACGCGAATCTCGAACAACCCGTTTTTGAATGACTGTAACGTAAACACTAACCCATTCCGGACAACGAATCCCTTCTGGAGCGAGCAACTGGAACTCGAAGAAACCGTTGACACAACTCAGTTGCTGGATTTATTCGCGAAACCGTCAACCGAATCGCTGCCCGATAAAATCGTGAACGACTTGAAAAACTCGTCGTGTACTTGTATACGAGAGAAACAAGTCAATGTTGAGAAGGACGTGGGAGCGACGAATACTCTGCACGACGTAACGTGTAATAGCACCATTACGGACACGGTTAGCCCGATCAGACAAGTCCAGAATACCAGCCAGCGTGTGAGGACTCCACCTGGATTCAGTTCAAGCAATGTTTCCAATAATAGTATGACGGTTCCGATGGTGGCACCCAACAACTTTTATGGAAGTCCTAGGGGCAATCCCTATTATCAACGGTTTCCGTTTCAGAATTCCGGCATGCCGCAGAATCCGCCGATTTTGCCGTACGTTCTGCCACCGCAAAATAACTATTTTGGTTGTGTGCCTCAGGTGTACCCGAATGCGTACAATTTCAATGCGCTGAATTGGCAGCAGTTGTTTTCGCAGCCGAATTTTAGGCCGCCGCCTCGGTATCCGCATTGAGGTTTGAGGTGAAAGGGTTTTGTGTGGGGGCCTGGTGGCGACAGTGGAAGTTTTTTTACGTTGTGATTTAGTGACGATGTTGTGTTTTTTTAAATAGAGATTTATTTATTTTAACTGTCACTGCGTGTTGGGATCGTGGTTTTGAATTGCATCGTTCTTGGTAGGATTTTTTGCCACCGGTGTACGAATAAATGTTTATTTTGTGGGTTTTCTTTTATTGTGCCCTAACGATAAATAGCAGTATTAAGATAAGTGGAGTGAAATAAATAATTGAGTCACATTAAAATATTCTTTTTTTTTCTATGTCTTTTTTGTAGTATACAAATTAGTTTCAAAAAATTCAAGCCTATGGATTCCGACGTGTCAATTCTAAAAATATAGCGTGTTTGAGGACGTGATTTCTTCAGTTTTACGATTTCTCGAATTCTTCATTTTGCGATTTCTCAATTTGCAATTTTTCGTTCCAGTTTTTATTTTCTTCAATTTTTTGATTCTTTACTTTTTCATTTTATCAAATTTTTAATTTGCAATTTTGCGTTTTGATTTTATAATTTTTTGTTTTTCCATTTTCATTTTTTTTTTTTAGTTTTCCTTGCTTAAATTTTTTCTTTTCTTTTTTGTTTCTACAATTTTACGATTGCAACTTTACGGGTTTTCACTTTTGAATTTTTTAATTTTTAGATTACGCAGTTTTGGGATTTGTAATATCGCGAGCTTTCAGTTTTTAATTTTTCGATTTTTGGATTTATCCATTTTTCATTCCTTCTATTTTTAGATTTGCAATTTTTCGATCCGGTTTTTATTTTCTTTATTTTTCAATTATTCGTTTTTCGATGTTCCGATTTTATAATTTTTTGTTTCTTCAAGTTTAATTTCTTTAAATTTTCGCTTCTTCAATTTTTCGCTTTGCAATTTTTCAGTTTTTCATTTTATTGTTTCTTCAATTTATGGATTTCGCATTAAAACTTCTCGAATGTTCATTTTTCAATTTTTCATTTCTTTAAATTTTTAATTAACAGTTTTGGTTTTTGTTTTCTTTATTTTTTCAATTTTTCGGTTTTTCAATATACTGATTTTAAAATTTTTCTTTTTTTCAATGTGAACATTTTTATTGTTTGGATTTTACAAATTTGCGATTAACAATTTTTGGGTTTTCGTTTTACGATTTTTTAACTTTTAGATTTTTTAATTCTTCATTTTTTCAGATTTAGATTTTTCAGCTTCTTGATTTTTGAATTTTTCGTTTCTTCAACTTTTGATCTGCAATGTTTCGAGTTTTCTTTTTAAATACGTATCTAATAACAATCATAATTTAAAAATTTTCTAATTTTTTCAATTTTACGATTCTAGAAGTTTCCATTTTTCAATTACTGGAGTTTTAAACTTTTTCACTTATTCGATTTTTCAATTTTTCGATTTTTAATATTTTGGATTTTCCACTTTTTCGATTCGATTCGTTTTTTTCTTTCCAATTTTTAGAATTATCAATTATTTTCGATTTTTAAATTTCTCGATTTTTAGTTTTCCAATTTTTCGTTTCTTGAGGTCTTCGATTTTCCACTTTTTCGATTTTGCAATTTTCCATTTTTTCAGTTTTTTTCTTTTTCCGATCTTTAGTTTTCGATTTTTAATACAAAATTTCATTTTGACAAAGTCGTTTAAAAATTCTCAAAAAATTCACGGTTATAGATCTCGACGTGCTGATTCCAAAAGTATAATAATATAGTAATATTTTCGAAATATTGGGAGCAAAATTCGAATTTTTTTAAATTTAAAAAAAATGCGATGTTTGAATTTCTCGATTCTTCATATTTTCGATTTCCCCAATTCTTCATTTTGGGATTTTTCAATTTGCAATTTTTCGTTCCAGTTTTTATTTGCTTTATATTTTCAATTATTCGTTATTTCAATGTTCCGATTTTATAATTTTTTGTTTCTTCAATTTTGATTCCTTAAGTTTCGCTTCTTCAATTTTTCGCTTTGCGATTTTTCAGTTTTTCATTTTATTGTTTCTTCAATTTATAGATTTCGCAAATTTTTCGAATTAAAACTTCTCGATTTTTCATTGCAATACCGCGAGTTTTCCGTTTTTAATTTTTAATTTTTTTCAAATTTTCGATTTGCAATTTTTCGTTTTCTTTGTTTTTTCGGTTTTTCAGTGTACTGATTTTAAAATCGTTCTTTTTTTCAATGTGGAAATTTTTATTTTTTGGATTTTACAATTTTTTCAATTAGCAGTTTTTGGGTTTTTAGTTTCACGATATTTCAACTTTTAGATTTTTTAATTTTTCATATTTTCAATTTTACGATTTTGGAATTTTCCATTTTTCAATTACTGGACTTTCAAACTTTTTTGTTTATTCGATTTTTAATTTTTTGGATTTTCCAGTTTTCGTTTTTTTCTTCGTTCCAATTTTTCGAATTATTAATTATTTTCGAATTTTAAATTACTAATTACTTATTTTAATGTTCCGATTTTATAATTTTTTGTTTCTTCAATTTTAATTTCTTAATTTTCGCTTCTTCAATTTTTCGCTTTGCCATTTTTCAGTTTTTCATTTTATTGTTTCTTCAATTTATAGATTTGGCAAATTTTGCGAATTAAAACTTCTCGAATTTTCATTTTTTCATTGGAATATCGCGAGTTTTCAGTTTTTAATTTTTCATTTTTTTCAAATTTTCGATTTGCAATTTTTCGTTTTCTTTGTTTTATCGATTTTTCAGTGTACTGATTTTAAAATCTTTCTTTTTTTCAATGTGGAAATTTTTATTGTTTGGATTTTACAATTTTTTCAGTTAGCAGTTTTTGGGTTTTTAGTTTCACGATTTTTCAACTTTTAGATTTTTTAATTTTTCAGTTTTTCAATTTTACGATTTTGGAAGTTTCCATTTTTCAATTACCGGACTTTTAAACTTTTTTCTTTATTCAATTTTTAATTTTTTGGATTTTCCAGTTTTCGTTTTTTTCTTCTTTCCAATTTTTCGAAATATTAATTATTTTTGAATTTTAAATTACTCGATTTTTAGTATTTCAGTGTTTCAATTATTCGTTTCTTCAGTTCTTCGATTTACAATTTTTCATTTTTTAATTTGAAATTTGTCTTTTTTCCGATCTTTTAGTTTTCGATTTTTAATACATAATGAAAAATTTCATTTTGACAAAGTACTTTAAAAATTCTCAAAAAAGCCACGGTTATAGATCTTGACGTGCTGATTCCAAAAATATAGGGAGTTTAGGGTCACGAAGCAATATTTTCGAAATATTCGGCGGGAAATTCGAATGTTTTTGAGATTTTTAAAAATTTCGATCTTTCAATGGGCGATTCTGGAAAAACGGTTGGAATTATCGAAGAAATGAGGCCGGAAGTGACTTCTTCAATTTCCCGATTCATCATAGGAGTATTTTCTATTTCTCGGATTCTTCATTTTTTTTTATTTGATTACGTTTTTTTTGCGATTTCTCAATTTTCAATTTTTAGATTTGCAATTTTTCGTTCCGGTTTATATTTTCTTCATTTTTTCAACTATTCAATTTTTCAGTTTTTCATTTTATTGTTTCTTCAATTTATGGATTTCGCATTGAAACTTTTCGAATTTTCATTTTTGAATTTTTCCATTTTTCGGTTTTCCAATTTTTCGAATGATTAATTATTTTCGAATTTTAATTTTTCGTGTCTTCAGTTCTTCGATTTGCAATTTTTTATTTTCTATATATATTTTCATTTATTCGTTTTTCAATGTTCCCATTTTATAATTTTTTGTTTCTTCAATTTTAATTTTTTTTAATTTTCGCTTCGCGATTTTCCAGTTTTTCATTTTATTGTTTCTTCAATTTATGGATTTCGCATTAAAACTTCTCGAATTTTCATTTTTCAATTTTTCGATTCTTTACATTTTCATTTCTTCAAATTTTTAATTTGCAATTCTGCGTTTTGGTTTTTTGTTTTCTTTATGTTTACATTGTTTCGATTTATGAGTGTTACGATTTTATAATTTTTTGTTTTTCCATTTTCAGTTTTCCTTGCTTAAATTTTTCCATTTGCAATTTATCATTTTTTTTGTTTCTAAAATTTTACGGTATGCAACTCTACAAATTTTCATTTTTAAATTTTTCAGTTTTTCAGTTTCCCAGTTTTTGGATCTTTCAATTTTTAGATTTCGCAATTTTTCGATTTGTAATATCGTGAGTTTTCAGTTTTTAATTTTTCGATTTTTGGATTTATCAATTTTTCATTTCTTCAAATTTTCGATTTGCAATTTATCGTTTCGGTTTTTGTTGGCTTTATTTTTTCGATTTTTCAGTGTACAGATTTCAAATTTTTTTTTTTCAATGTGAAAACTTTTATTGTTTGGATTTTACAATTTTTCGATTAGCAATTTTTGGGTTTTTCAGCTTCTGGATTTTTGGATTTTTCGTTTCTTCAATTTTTGATCTGGAATGTTGCCAGTTTTCATTTTAAATATATATATATATATATATATATATATATATAATAATTATTATAATTTAATTTTTTTTTCATTTTTTCAATTTTACTATTTTAGAAGTTCCCATTTTTCAATTACTGGACTTTTAAACTTTTTCATTCATTCGATTTTTAATATTTTGGATTTTCCAGTTTTTCGATTCAATTCGGTTTTTTTCCAATTTTTCGTTTCTTGGGTTCTTCGATTTGCAATTTTTTATTTTCTTTATATTTTCAGTTATTCGTTTTTCAATGTTCCGATTTTATAATTTTTGTTTCTTCAATTTTAATTTCTTTAAATTTTCGCTTCTTCAATTTTTCGCTTTGCAATTTTTCAGTTTTTCATTTTATTATTTCTTCAATTTATGGATTTCGCATTAAAACTTTTTTCCGATTCTTTATTTTTTCATTTCCTCAAAATTTTTAATTGCAATTTGCGTTTTTGGTTTTTACTTTTCTTTATTTTTACAATTTTTCGATTTTTCAGTTTTTCTTGTTTAAATTTTTTCATTTGCGATTTATCATTTTTTTTTGCTTCTACCATTTTAAGGTACCCAACTCTACGAGTTTTCATTTTTGAATTTTTCAATTTTCTGGTTTTCTAGTTGTTGAACCTTTCGATTTTTAGATTTCGCAGTTTTTCAATTTGTAATATCGCGAGTTTTCATTTTTTATTTTTTCCATTTTTAGATTTAACAATTTTTCATATTTTCAATTTGCAATTTTTCGATCTTTCAGT